TATAAGGTCATGTTGTATATGAACGGATTTTACTCACGTATTTGGATGAGGCAATGTTGAATACTGCAGGGTCCAGTTCCTACATACACAATCTCTCTCTCCTCTCTCTCCTCTCTCTCTCCTCTCCTCTCCTCTCTCTCTCTCTCTCTCTCTCTCCTCCTCTCTCTCTCTCTCTCTATCTCTCTCTCTCTCTCTCTCTCTCTCTCCCTCTCTCTCTCTCTCTCTCTGTTGAACGGTATTGAACTTTGCAGCACGCCTATCTGTCATCAAAAATATGTCAGACTGTAAAACTACTTACAAAACTATCCCGGTTTGTTCTACCTAAAATAAAGCTACCACATGACTGCCTAGGCAAGAAAACCCTCATGTAACGGACCTTGTGGTGAACAACCAGCGTGGTGTCATCGCACTGGTGCCGTCACCTCCGGAATACCAACCCAGTCATTACAGACGACACGCCCGCTGTAGAAGGACGGGACGATGAGCAGTGAAGCTAGGAGAATATTCAACAATCTTATGTTTTCCCGGCGTGATTCATGACTACTGCGCTGCTAAGTCATATACATCGGCAGCCCTAGTTACAGCGCCTCTCCTGCCTGGTGCCACAACATAATATAATCAAAAATGCTGTGGCTTAGCTGGCCTATACGCTGTATGCATTGATGGTTTTGTGATCCTCTACCGAATGGATTGGCTAGCAGGACGCGTGTCTAACTTTTCCGTGTGATGTTGCAGCCATCGATCAGTGTCTTTTCAAACCGGTCGAGCCATGACTCTAGATTCAAGGTATTATGCAACGCCATGAGGCACGGAAAAGTACCAAAACCCATAATAAACGACGCAATTTTTCAGGATCAATGATGTCATTCTGACGCTGCCTCCGCTGTGAACTGTACGTAATTAATTGATTGCGCGCCTCGCTCACCAAATGATAGCATGCCTCCACGACGCAAGGTACCGCTGCTTGCAAAAAAGTTCCTGACGGCAAAAGCGCTGCGATGCATAACACTTGAAACGTTCGCGCGCGAGAGAGCGCTACTCCGCTAACCGTGTAAGTTAGTGCTGGGCTGCTCTACTGACTGTTAGTGCAGGGCTGCTCCGTTAACCGTGTTAGTTAGTGCAGCGCTGCTCCGTCAGCCCGTGTTAGTGCAGCGCTGCACCGCCAGCCGTGTTAGTTAATGCAGGGCTACTCCGTTAACCGTGTTGGTTAGTGCAGGGCTGCTCCATTAGCCGTGTTACTGCAGCGCTGCTCCGTCAGCCGTGTTAGTTAGCGCAGCGCTGCACCGCCAGCCGTGTTAGTTAATGCAGGGCTGCTCCGTTAAACGTGTTGGTTAGTGCAGCGCTGTTCCGTCAGCCGTGTTAGTTTGTGCAGCGCTGCACCGCCAGCCGTGTTACTTAATGCACGGCTGCTCCATTAACCGTGTTAGTTAGTGCAGCGCTGTTCCGTCAGTCATGTTAGTTAGTGCAGCACTGCACCGCCAGCCGTGTTAGTTAATGCAGGGCTGCTCCGTTAACCGTGCTAGTTAGCGCAGCGCTGCTTCGTCAGCCGTATTAGTTAGTTCAGGGCTGCTCCGCCAACCGTGTTAGTTGGTGCAGGGTTGCTCCGCTGACCGTGTTAGTTAGTGCAGGGCTGCTCCGCCAACCGTGTTAGTTAGTGCAGGGCTGCTCCGCTGACCGTGTTAGTTAGTAGATCGTAGACCGTGTGACCGGCGGGACAGTATCGGGTGTACGGAGGGACAGTATCGGATGCACGGCGGGACAGCATCGGATGTACGGTGGGGCAGTATCGGATGTGCGGCGGGGCAGTACCGGCGGTGCGACGGTACAGCATACGGGTACAGGTACAGCACGGCGGAACGACATCGGTGGGACAGCACTGAGTGTACGAAGGTGCAGTGTCGGTGGGATGGCGGGACAAGATTGGCTGCACAGCGGAACAGTATCGGTTGTCAGGCGGTACAACATCGGCAGTACGGTGGGATTATATCGGTTGTATGGCGGTACAGTTTCAGTGGTATAGCGAGACGGTATCGGCGGCACGACGGTGCGCCATCGGCGGTAAGGTGGGACAGTATCAGTTGTATGATGACACAGGGCCAGTGGTATGGCGGACAGTATTGGCAGTACGATGGGACAGCATTGCGTGCCATGGAGACATGTCATGGAGGAATGCCGTGGAGGAATGTCGTCATTTCATCATGTCATTCAGCATGCCCTTGGAGAAATGATGCACATTTCCCAAGCTCCGGGCCCCTCCCTCAAGAAAGTCCTGACTGAGGCCCTGTTTACATTTCTGCGGAAGGCCTTTGCCAGGTCAAGCAAGGTCGCCCAGTCGCATATTACATCATGATAACAAAAAATAGGTGAAATGAAGCGGAAACATGGCTAAACAAGCTTACTCAAGCTGTATTAGATGCGGAGCGCAACTTCGATCACAATTTACAGTCGATGTCAGGGCGGCTCATACGCTGCATACAGGCACAGCTAATTAAAGATCACGACCATGTTGGATCCTTGGAAGATTTATGCCGCTTGCGCACAAGTTACCGTCAAATTATTTGAAATATCGCCATCTAATATATATCTAAAGAGCTTCGTAAATCACCCGTCTGTCTGGCAAGCATTGGGCAATGTTGCAACCATGCCAGACAACGCTTCGGATAGGTTATTTATTTGAAGGGGTTCACATGCCTATAAAGGTTCAGCTAAGTGCAAAATTATCTTCCAGAACCAGAATGAATCGGAATCATGACGCCAATTACAGTGAATGCCTTGTAGGCCAGCATACTGGTCACGCATTCTGCTGCATCGCCCGAAAATTCATGTCTGATGCACGCGTACACGTTCGAATGCACGAATAACTCATAGGCTGCTAGAACCATGTTCTGACGTGGGAGCTGCTACCGTGAAATATGAAGGTGTCACGTACAGTCTGTTTTGTCATGACTTTGTGTCAATTATTCCATTCCGCATATGACCGGAACGGACCCGTTCAGTTCGTTCCGCGTCACCCCAGTTGGAATCCTTACGATGTAGGGGGGGGGGGGGGGGGACGGCTGTGAGGTGTTGACAGGTGAACCGATGATCAAACCGCTATCATCCTTACTCTGAGATGCGGGCAGTCTGTTAAGTACGTAACGGGCGCACAGTCAGAGCGGCCGGTGAAATATTCCTGGCCTGTTACATCCCGTTAATTCGCATGAGGCAAACACCTGCGGTTATCCATTATCGAAAAACGCCACAGCCACGCCTGTTGTGGACATATTTCTAAATTTCGCAGGCGCACGTTGTAGATGACGTGTGTGTTATACTTCAAAGCTGTTGACATGTTTGCTGTTGTCATTGGTGATGTAAGACGTAATGAGTAACTGAGGATGTATGCCGCCGCCGCCTCTTGTCCTGATAGATTGCACGGGTACCGCGGGAAATCAAACCCCGTATCCCTAGTTTCCCAGACACGCTGCGCCAAATCAAATGCCACTCCGCGGCATATGTTTATCAATCAAAGGGCAGCCTACGCATGCCAACATCGGCAGTCCGTGCGGACCCCGCCGGCAGTCTGTTGTCAGGCTGAGCGGATGGGCATAGGCAATCTGCGTGGGCCGGTGTCGGCACTTTGAACGGACACTAACCGACGGTGTGCGCCAGCAAGTACGCCATTCAACGAGAGACGTGCCAGGCCCATGCGGCCCGCCCCAGTATTTTGTACGCGTCATTGTCAGCAGTCAGCATTGTCGATCTGTCCCGGTCCGTACTGCCCGTCTACGGGCTTCTGCTGGAGCTCTGGGGTGACTCGTATCGACGTTCTTTGCCAGCCGGTATCGGCCGCGCGTTTGGATCGGTACCAGCGGTCTGCATCAGCTGAGCCTTGGTCTTCTGCGTGGCCAGCACATGTGATGCACCTGCCGTATGTTTGGATCGGCATCGGCGGTGTGTGTGTGTGTGTGTGTGTGTGTGTGTGTGTGTGTGTGTGTGTGTGTGTGTGTGTGTGTGTGTGTGTGTGTGTGCGTGCGTGCGTGCGTGCGTGCGTGCGTGCGTGCGTGCGTGCGTGCGTGCGTGCGTGCGTGCGTGCGTGCGTGCGTGCGTGCGTGCGTGCGTGCGTGCGTGTGACACCGAGTGGCGGCCGTCTCAGTGTTCGATATGGGTAGTCGAAGCGTCTGGTCGCCGGTGGCTTGTGCGGGCGGTGTCGGCCGCCGGCGCCCGCCACTGTCCGTGACCTGCGCACGCTCGCCTCGACGGCCGCCCCTCGCCTCGGCAGCCGCCCCTCGCCTGGGCAGCCACTCCTGGCCTCGGCGGTCGCTCCTCGCCTCGACGGGCGCTCCTGGCCTCAAGAGCGGCTCCTGGCCTCGGTGACCACTCTTGGCCCAGGCGGCCGCTCCCGTGCCGGAGCGTGCGGGCCGCCGGCGCCGGCCTGCAACGCCCACCTGGCCTGCTCTCCAGGGAGCGGGCGGCGGTCTCGCGCGCCGCTATCGACGTCCCGGCTGCAGACAGACGGACCAACAGACGGGCGGACGGAGACGCCCGGCAGCGGAGACGCTCTGTTTATTGAGGGAGACAGCGGCCGGCCGCGCTGGCGGCGACATGCAGCGCCGTATACCGGACATATAGGACGCGATGGCCCGCCGGCGGCAGCGGCGCGCACCGGACACCGCCAGCCAAGCTGCCTTCACCACTGGCCACTAGCAGAAATAATGCGGGTGAATGCCGGAGCAGGCTCGGCGACCGCGGTCTGACAAGCTCGGCAGCGGCCGGCGTCGGTGAGGTGTCGAGCGTCAGCGTGCCGGTGCCGGTGCCGGTGCCGGAGCCAGAGCCAGAGCCGGAGCCAGAGCCGGAGCCCGAGCCGGAGCCCGAGCCGGAGCCAGAGCCAGAGCCAGAGCCGGTGCCGGTGCCAGTGCCGGTGCCGGAGCCAGAGCCAGAGCCAGGGCCGGAGCCGGAGCCAGAGCCAGAGCCAGAGCCAGAGCCAGAGCCGGAGCCCGAGCCGGAGCCCGAGCCGGAGCCCGAGCCGGAGCCGGCACCGTGTGCGCCACCAGGTGAACACCGATAACTATGCGCCCGGTCGGAGTAGCGGACGGCCTGGGCGCGTACGCACCACCAGCCGTCCGCGCGCGCCGCCGTCCGCCGCTCGCCCGCTCCGAGCAAAAAGCTGCGCACTACAACACAAGATAAATAGTGACTGGGTCTGTCAGCCGACGCACGGCACGGCCAGACAGCTGCTACGATCGCGAGAGATAAGACAAAGCGAGGCCACCGGCCGGCGCGGCCTAGTTCTGGAACAGCGAACGCGTGAAGTCGACGTAGTCGAATGCGTTGGGGATCTGTCTCTCGGTGTTGGGGTCCGTGTATGGCTTCATTCGGTCGGCGCAGTAGTCTGCCATCTCCTTGCTGAGGTTCTGCCGGCGGAGGAGACCGTGTGAGTGCGGTGCCGTGCAGAACAGGGACAGGGGCAGGGTCAGGGTCAGGGGCAGGGGAGTGGCGGTCCGCCCCACAGCTGCTCCTGTAGCCCGGAACGCCGTCGAACAAGCCCTTGCAACCGCCAACTCGTGTTGTCACTGATACGACAGCAGCAACATCTTGCACGCGGTGGGAACACAGGATGAGCTGTAAATTAAACGAGCCACAGCTGTTCAACCGGACGGCAGTATTCCCACAGCAGCGCGTTAAGGGCCAGCCACACATCTGCCAATGTGCATATATATATATATATATATATATATATATATATGTATATATATTATAGAACACGTTACAGGTGTGTTTGTAAAAATGCAATACACGGATACGACGACAAACACAATTCGTCAGCTGTTTCAGTCAAGAAACTCAAACAACGGCGACAATGTCATAAATTGCGAGACGCCTAACACCGCCATCCCAACGCCGTCCACACATCCCGTCAAACCCACGCCAAAGCCCTCAGGGCAAAGCCCGCTGAGCCTGCTTATCACATTTGCCCGGTGTGCTCCGCGCACGACCGATCGTTACTTCAACAGGTACGGGTGCACGGGTGCGTGGCGGCGAGGACCAGGTGGGGAGGAAAGCCAGCAGCTCAGTCGCGCGCGGCTCGCCACGCAGGGATCCCGGCCAGAAGCCCGGGCGCCGGTCGACTCGGCCGGAACCACGCCACGTCAGCAGCGTTCAAATCTCCACCGCCGACGGGCACCGGCTCACAAAGGAGCGGCGCTGAGAGACGCCAGGCCGACAAACAGCGCTCGCCCCTCGACAGAAACTCTCGGAGCAGCCGTCAGAGCGGCGGGCGGAAGGCGGCCGGGATAGCGGCCTGGCGCTGGGCGGCGTTTGTCGGTGCCGGGCGTCCCAAACGCTGGCCGCCGGCCTGGCACCGCTGCCTCCGCCGCCTCGGTCCCGACCGTCGTCTTCTCGGCGGGTCGGGTATCATGCGGCCCTCGGCCGGCGTCCGGCCGTCGGCCCCCGACTGCAGGGAAGGTGCACGAATCGATCGCCCATGCGGCCACGGTCAGGGCTGCGCCGCCATCCCATTGATCCCGCACGGGCCGCTGGGGCCGCGGACGCCGCTGATTTCGCCTTCTGGCCGGCACGGCGGACGGAGGTGCGAGACGGGCCCGGTCGATAGGCGGGCTCGGCGGCGCCGCGCCGCTGGTAAACAGCGGCGCACGCCCAGCTGGCCGGCAGCGGATCTGACGGCCGCCCCACGCCCGCAGGAGATCTGACGGCCGCCCCACGCCGGGCGTCACGACAGTCCCACCGACAGGGAATCTGACGGCCGCCCCACGCAGGCGTCACGACAGTCTCATCCGCCGAACCCGCCGCCACCTGTCCCGGCCCGGCGCGTGTCGGCCGGCCGGTCTGCGGCCGGCCGCGCGCCAGCGGGCGAGCCGCGCCACAAGTGTCAGTGACCGGCGTGTGGCGCGACCGTCATCACCATTGATCCTGCCACCCGTCGCCAAGGTCCGAACCCTATCATCGCGGGCTTCGGCCGCCGCCGTCCGACGGCGGGGAGAGCGGGGAGAGAATCGACGTCCGACGCCAAGCAGCGCACGGGAACACGTCAGTCACAACCAACAGGACGCTACGCATGAACGCGTGGAAGGGAAAGTGACCGCACAGCCACGAATCCGACTACGCAGCCCTCCTGGCCCAGCAGGTGGCTTACGTCCGGACGCATGCTTATCCCGGCTGCATGGGCTGTCGGCATCTACGGAGCCAAAGGAACGGCGACGCCCAACGGTCTCGGTCTGAGCCGGGTAAACAGCGCGCCACGCGGCACACGTACCGCCCGCATCATCTTCCATTACCGGGTATTTGCAGTCGGGCGCTGGAAAAAGCGGCCCTGGCCGAGCCATATCGGGCCATCAGTCAGCGCCCGGCTGCGCACCGGCCGTGATAACGACGACGGACTCCGGGGCCGGGGCCGGCGCCGGCCGGTGCGCGTCTGTTGACAGAGCGGCGCGGCCGGCAGGCGACGGCCCAGGCACGGACGCCACCAGCACAGCGGCCAGCAACCGACCAGCTGACACTGTGCCGCTAAGCACTGCAAGCCAGTGAGCCATCACAGATGCGACTAAGATCATAAGAAATAGCGACCGTGCTTTAATAAAGGAGTGAGACTTAAATCACAAAAACGACCATGTTTCAATAAAGCGCTTGTTCTAAGTGATATGGACACGTAATCGATGTGAGAGGGAGACGGAGCGCTGTGTATTGAACGGGACCGTGCCAGCAACGCCGAAGGAAATGTGGAACAATGTGGCACCAAGCGTCGGCCGCCGCCCCGGCCGCCAGACCGAATAGCACTCCGGGCTATTTATCGCGAAGCGTCACTGGCGGCACGAGAGAGCGAGCGAGCGCGCTCGGTCGGCTCGTGCCGGCGTCTCCCCGCCACAGTGGAGCCGACGCCCGGCGCAGCACAGCCGGCGCGCCCGGCCGCCGCCGCAGCCAGGCGGGTGACTCTGTTGCCTCGAGACGGAGGCGCGTCGGCCGGCCGCCGCCGCAGCCGGGCGGGTGACTCTGTTGCCTCGAGACGGAGGCGCGTCGGCCGGCCGCCGCCGCAGCCGGGCGGGTGACTCTGTTGCCTCGAGACGGAGGCGCGTCGGCCGGCCGCCGCCGCAGCCGGGCGGGTGACTCTGTTGCCTCGAGACGGAGGCGCGTCGCCCGGCCGCCGCCGCAGCCGGGCGGATGACTCTGCTGCCTCGAGACGGAGGCGCGTCGGCCGGCCGCCGCCGCAGCCGGGCAGGTGACTCTGTTGCCTCGAGACGGAGGCGCGTCGGCCGGCCGCCACCGCAGCCGGGCAGGTGACTCTGTTGCCTCGAGACGGAGGCGCGTCGGCCGGCCGCCGCCGCAGCCGGGCGGGTGACTCTGCTGCCTCGAGACGGAGGCGCGTCGGCCGGCCGCCGCCGCAGCCGGGCGGGTGACTCTGTTGTCTCGAGACGGAGGCGCGTCGGCCGGCCGCCACCGCAGCCGGGCGGGTGACTCTGTTGTCTCGAGACGGAGGCGCGTCGGCCGGCCGCCGCCGCAGCCGGGCGGGTGACTCTCTTGCCTCGAGACGGAGGCGCGTCGGCCGGCCGCCGCCGCAGCCGGGCGGGTGACTCTGCTGCCCCGAGAAGGAGGCGCGTCGGCCGGCCTCTTCCGGCGCGCTCTGATTTACGGACGACGGCTGTGTCCGGGCGCGGGCCACTGAATCAGCGGCGCGGTGGTGCGCCGGAGTGCACTGTGTCCGCGACGCGGGGCCTCGGCCGACGCTTCGAACGCCCTCGGAACAGCACTGGCTGCTCCGGACAAACGACGTGACGATCGTGACGACGGCAAACCGCAGCGGCGGTCGTCCCGCGTGACGGCCTCAAAACCATGGGCGGGCCTAACATAGAGCGGCCGACGTTTCCCTGCCCCCCCCCCCCCCTCTCTCTCCCCCTCTCCCTCTCGCTCTCGCCCCCACGGACTCGATGCTAACAGCCAAAGGTGGCTAGCTACCGACGAAACGACGGCTTGGCCCGGATTTACCAAGAAACGCCTCAGCCTTGCGGTCCCAGACGGGATGAGCCGTCGCCGCGACAACGCGCTACTCCAAAGGCCCACGGAACCCCAGAGCTGTGTTAATGACAGGGGCCCGATGCGGACAATACAAGCCGCTACTCAAACACATGCCATACTTCTGTTACGACACAGTATCACGCTGTTAACGCTTCCCGCTAGGACCCAGGACCCTCCGCCCAGAATACTTGGCTGGCTACGACCTAGCTTAGCTTCCTATTGATACGCGTCCAATTGGATCTAAAACATCATCGGGTTTAAGACCGTATCAAAACCACTGGAAGCAGTCTCACTCGATCCAACACTGCAAATAGCCGGTGTGAAGCGAAATCTCGTGAGTTGCCTCGCGCCGAGCGGACCACCCAGAGGTCGCGATCTGTGTCACTGCTCTCAAGAAAGTCATGGGATGCGTGCATTACTGCAGCCAGGAGAGCACGCAATGTGAGGCGGCACCCGAGAGCTGGGGGTTCACCACTGTCGAGCCGTCGACCTCATTTGCACGAGCTGTTGCCGCAGATCGGCTTCCCAGCACCGAGGTGGGTGGCGACGGGACAAACCCGCCGGCCGGCCGCGTCACCGCCGCGACGACAGGACGACGGGACGACAGGACGACGGGACGACAGGACGACAGGATGACAGGATGACAGGATGACGGGACGACAGGACGGCGGGACGGCGGGACGACGGGACGACGGGACGACAGGACGACGGGACGACAGGACGACAGGACGACGGGACGACAGGACGACGGGACGACATGACGACAGGACGGCGGGACGGCGGGACGGCGGGACGGCGGGACGACGGGACGACGGGACGACAGGACGACGGGACGACAGGACGACAGGATGACGGGACGACAGGACGACGGGACGACAGGACGACGGGACGACAGGACGACAGGACGGCAGGACGGCGGGACGGCGGGACGACGGGACGACGGGACGACAGGACGGCGGGACGACGGGACGACGGGCATGTGACGAGCGGGGCGGCGGCGGTCCGGACCAGCGGTCCGGGCCGGCGGCGGGACGACGGCCGTCCGCCGCGACACGCGTCCGTCTGGCAACTTCGGCCCTGCTGACGGATTGGCCCGGCCGGGCGGCGCCGGGCGAGCCGCCGCGCTCGTGATGGCCCGTCGGCACACTCGCCCGCGGCAGCCGGCGACCGTGGCCGCTCCGCAGCCGTGTCCGCCGACGAGCGCGACTGTCCCCTGGTGGCCAGACACCCCCCAGGGGCGGTGTCTGGGTCGCAGAGCTACGGCTCGTGCACACGAATGCCGGGGACCGGCTGGCCGCGCGCCGGCGCCAGTGCAGCGACCGCCGGCCACCGCGTCCGGGCATCGCGGCCGACGGCTCACCAAGTAGGCCCGCTCCAGCCAACTCCTGGAAAGCTTGACTCAAACGCGACAACATTCATGTCGTGTGTTCTATGGACAGGCACATCAGTTTGCCAAGCGGACGGCAGGCAGTCGAGGAAAGAATTGTTCCTAAAAATACCAGCTTCCGGCCAATATAGTCCACCATCAATTTTCAACCTAACCTTTACGATAACCTTTAACGGACGCGCTGACAGGCAGGTGGCCGCCGACATGCGTTAATGACTGCCACATGCCTCGAGTACAACACAATTGGGATCAACGAGTCAGGAGCATTCTTAACCCAGTCTGGTCCGGCGCTGTGCGCGTGGCGCCCCGTCCCGGCGCTCCGACCCCTGCCCGCCCGCGCCCCGGCCGCCGTACGGAGTGGATATGGGCTGGGGAGGGGGGGGGGGGGGGGGTTGGCGGCGTTTGCCTCCCCAGGGGTCGCGCTGTCACGTGGCACAGATTGGCCCCGCGTGCGTGCGGCTCTATGCACAGGCGGCCAGCCACATATCGGGTCGCTCGCAATAAGCGCCGCCGGCCACCTGGCGAACAAACAGGCATACGGAGCCCGGGCAGCTGGGCACTGGCGCAGAGGGAGCTGGACTGGATACTGACGGGCGGAGGGCAGGCACGGCCAAACACCGACGTCTAGGGAGCGGGGCTGGATACTGACGGGCGGAGGGCAGGCACGGCCAAACACCGACGTATAGGGAGCGGGGCTGGATACTGACGGGCGGAGGGCAGGCACGGCCAAACACCGACGTCTAGGGAGCGGGGCTGGATACTGACGGGCGGAGGGCAGGCACGGCCAAACACCGACGTATAGGGAGCGGGGCTGGATACTGACGGGCGGAGGGCAGGCACGGCCAAACACCGACGTCTAGGGAGCGGGGCTGGATACTGACGGGCGGAGGGCAGGCACAGCCAAACACCGACGTCTAGGGAGCGGGGCTGGATACTGACGGGCGGAGGGCAGGCACGGCCAAACACCGACGTATAGGGAGCGGGGCTGGATACTGACGGGCGGAGGGCAGGCACGGCCAAACACCGACGTCTAGGGAGCGGGGCTGGATACTGACGGGCGGAGGGCAGGCACGGCCAAACACCGACGTCTAGGGAGCGGGGCTGGATACTGACGGGCGGAGGGCAGGCACGGCCAAACACCGACGTCTAGGGAGCGGGGCTGGATACTGAAGGGCGGAGGGCAGGCACGGCCAAACACCGACGTATAGGGAGCGGGGCTGGATACTGACGGGCGGAGGGCAGGCACGGCCAAACACCGACGTATAGGGAGCGGGGCTGGATACTGACGGGCGGAGGGCAGGCACAGCCAAACACCGACGTATAGGGAGCGGGGCTGGATACTGACGGGCGGAGGGCAGGCACGGCCAAACACCGACGTATAGGGAGCGGGGCTGGATACTGACGGGCGGAGGGCAGGCACGGCCAAACACCGACGTATAGGGAGCGGGGCTGGATACTGACGGGCGGAGGGCAGGCACAGCCAAACACCGACGTATAGGGAGCGGGGCTGGATACTGACGGGCGGAGGGCAGGCACGGCCAAACACCGACGTATAGGGAGCGGGGCGACCAGCGACTGACTGGTGGAGAGCGGGGGGGGGGGGGGCGACAAGGGACTGGGCCGACCAGAGTCAGGCCAGAGGCCACCTACGGTGTAGAGCTCCTCCTTGAGCACGTAGGGCCGCTCGCCGTTGGTGATGGCGCGGAAGGCGTGCTCGATCTCCTCCGAAGACTGCACATTCTCCGTCTCCTTGCTGATCATGAAGGCCATGTACTCCTGCAGGCTAATGAAGCCGTCCCGGTTGGGGTCAACCACGTCTGGAAGGACAGCGTCGCGTGTTAAGGGCCGTCGGCGCCACTCCGTCAAGGGACGGATAGCCCCTCGTGACGCGGGGACAAACTGGGTACAAATGCCACCCATGCTGAGAATATTCAGGAGAACCCATGCTGAGAATGCTCATGTCAATGGAATAAGAACGTTGGATCAACATGTCCATTGACATTGGGATTTATTTTTTACCCATCGCCACATTACAGCACCAGCTGCTCAGATAAGGCTCGACAGTTCACGGGAGCAATGACGTAAAAGAGCAACGCGCAATGTAGCCTCTAACCTGCAAATCTAAATAGCACCGAATAACAGACATGTCACGCACGTGTTATGCGCTCATCGTCCGCCTAAATACGACTGCTTAGTAAAGTTGTTTACGAACTGACCAATCCAAAATATAAAGTATTGTTTAAAGTGAGTCTTATCCTTGGATCCGCCTTGTCCGCCTCGGATCCGACCTTCATTTCGCACAAGATATGCAGGCACATTGTTAATAATAACGTAAAAAATAAATAGGAACTACACCGGAACCGAACTGTTATTTGTCGCTCAGGGCTGCGCGTCGCAGATTGCCACAAATGGCGTACGTGACACCGAGCAGGCATGCAGGTAACGTACGCAACGAAAAACGCCTTCGGCGGCGGCGGAGAATAAAGGCACAAACCCGGTCGTGACTAAAAGTAAACTAATAAGTCGGAACGTCCAGATAGCATCCGGCCCGAGAAAGTGATGATCCAAAGTGTCGGTGATGGCAGACAGCGTGGGTGCTGCGAACACACGGACCTGACCGCCTGCGGGCGTCTGACAATCACGCTAAAAGGCACCATGTCCGCGGGCCGCAGACACTGGCAAATGCGCCAGCCGCCGGCTGCCGATGGCTGTGGCGCTGACGGATGTCAGGGGCCGACAGAGCGGGTCGGTGACGCCATCCATCGCCTCGGACGCGGCTCGGACGCTGAGACGGCGCGCGGCCGCGGCCGACCGGAGGCCGCCGCCGACCGATGATGGACGCACGGTCCCAGCCCCAGCGCCAGAAGGGGAAACACCGTGAGGTGGGCAGGAGCGCGGCCCGACGACCACCAGTGAAGACCCACAGATCAAGCTGTCGCCAGCCCGCAGCCGCCGCCCTCGCCCTGGACGTGTACGGCGGCGGCAGCGCCCGGCCGCTGCTAAGACGAGACCGCGGCTGTCACTGTCCAACACGAGGGACGGGCGTTCGGCGGGCGGCGCCTTGCCGGCAACGTCACGGCGAACGACAGTGACAAAGGCCGGTCGACGGGTCGCTCCATCGATCACCAGCCGGCGCGCGTGGCGCCGCCTCCTCCGAGATCGCGCCTCGGTGGCGCTTCGCCGGAGGTCCCGGCGCGGCCGCCGCCGCTCGTTACCGGGGGATTCTGTCAACCGGCGGCCGGACGTGGCTGGCGCTGCCGATACAGCGTCGGCCATTCATCAGCGGCTCACGGCTGCTGCTGGCGGCAGGGCTGCGCGCACTCGGGCCGGCCGACCGCCCCTTCCCACTGAACCGGCCGCCGCAGATGCGCCCCGGTCGCCCTGTCGAGGACGGCACCAGGACCGGAGAACAATGTCGGGGTCGGCGCCAGGACTGGAGAACAATGCCGGGGTCGGCGTCAGGACTGGAGAACAATGTCGGGGTCGGCGTCAGGACTGGAGAACAATGCCGGGGTCGGCCGTCAGGACTGGAGAACAATGTCGGGGTCGGCGTCAGGACTGGAGAACAATGCCGGGGTCGGCGTCAGGACTGGAGAACAATGTCGGGGTCGGCGTCAGGACTGGAGAACAATGCCGGGGTCGGCGTCAGGACTGGAGAACAATGCCGGGGTCGGCGTCAGGACTGGAGAACAATGTCGGGGTCGGCGTCAGGACTGGAGAACAATGCCGGGGTCGGCGTCAGGACTGGAGAACAATGCCGGGGTCGGCGTCAAGACGGAGAACAATGCGGGGTCGGCGTCAGGACTGACGAGAACAATGTCGGGGTCGGCGCCAGGACTGGAGAACAATGCCGGGGTCGGCGTCAGGACTGGAGAACAATGGCGGGGTCGGCGTCAAGACCGGAGAACAATGCCGGGGTCGGCGTCAGGACTGGAGAACAATGTCGGGGTCGGCGTCAGGACTGGAGAACAATGCCGGGGTCGGCGTCAGGACTGGAGAACAATGCCGGGGTCGGCGTCAAGACGGAGAACAATGTCGGGGTCGGCGTCAGGACTGGAGAACAATGTCGGGGTCGGCGTCAGGACTGGAGAACAATGCCGGGGTCGGCGTCAGGACGGAGAACAATGTCGGGGTCGGCGTCAAGACGGAGAACAATGTCGGGGTCGGCGTCAGGACTGGAGAACAATGCCGGGGTCGGCGTCAGGACTGGAGAACAATGCCGGGGTCGGCGTCAAGACCGGAGAACAATGTCGGGGTCGGCGTCAGGACTGGAGAACAATGCCGGGGTCGGCGTCAGGACTGGAGAACAATGCCGGGGTCGGCGTCAAGACCGGAGAACAATGTCGGGGTCGGCGTCAGGACTGGAGAACAATGCCGGGGTCGGCGTCAAGACCGGAGAACAATGCCGGGGTCGGCGTCAAGACCGGAGAACAATGCCGGGGTCGGCGTCAGGACCGGAGAACAATGCCGGGGTCGGCGTCAGGACCGGAGAACAATGCCGGGGACGGCGTCAGGACCGGAGAACAATGCCGGGGACGGCGTCAGGACCGGAGAACAATGCCGAGGTCGGCGCCGTAGTCTTGATTGCGCCAAAGCCGGCTGAATGATCTGGGGGCTTTGTGGAGTGGATTCAGGTCCATTTGCCAGCACTGAGCCATCTGGAGCGCCAAGATGGCGAGCCGTCGCTCCAACCGGAGCGCGCATATTCAGAGGTCTCGCCTGATTTTGCATTGCCCCATTCATTCATTCCGAATGGCAGAGGTGAACAATGAACACTGTCGGCAGAGCCAGAGTCCGTGGTCGGATGGGAGCGAATTGATCTGGATGCACATTTCGTGCATTTGAAAAGACCAGACGTCGAAGAAATCAAATTTGTTACCTGATATTATCTTATAAAAAAGCGATGTTGATAATTGCCCAACACAATATCTCCAAAAAGCAGCAAATCTCTGCTTCTCCTCATCAATCAAAGCACCTCGTGCATAACCAGTTTGTATTGCACATTACAAGGCCTTTATGTGGGATCAAATTATCTCGGACCTTACGGGGGGGTTCAGGTGGTTTCTACGAGCGTTGCCCTAATAACGTTATCTATCAAAAGCAAATAAATGTGGCTTGCTAAACCAACTGGCTGCTGTGACGTCTGCCGGTGCCGGCTCCTGTTTTGTCCAGAGGATACCAGACTGCCGCAACTGCCACAGGTGCTCCAGGCGCCGACGGTGCCCCAGGTCAACGGAGCAGCAGCGGGCCGGGGCGTCGGCCGGCCGGCCGCCCGGTGGGTGGGCCGGCGGCGGGGGCTCGCCGGGTCCCAGGCGCCGGCCGTCTCCCCAAACACTGAGACGGCTCCGCCGCCGGCCCGTTTATTTGGCCGGCCGATCTGCGGGGCATTCAGGCCGCCGTGCCGGGCGTCTGGAGCTGGCCGGGCTCCCGATGTGGCTCACCTGCCACGGGCGACGCCACCGCGGAGGCGACATTCGGCGCCCATTTCCGCCAGCCGCCGGCGCGGCGGGCCGGTGGGACGGCCGCCGGTCCCCCGAGCCCGGTCGGCGACACGCTGCACCACCAAGCCGGGTGGGTGGTGGGTGAGCCGACAGACGGCACTCGCTGAAGCGGCGCGGACGGCAGCGTCGGGCCCGTTCGGCGGCGCGATCGATGGTGCGCCCGGGTCCGCGCCGGCCGGGTCGCCGGGCGCGGCGGCCGCCTCCCGCTGACCGCAACGTCGCCGGCCGGCCCAGTAAGTGATGGCCTCAGAGAGGTCAGGCAGCCACCTAATCCGCACAAAGGCGGCGGGAGGGCGGCGCCAATATGGTGGGGCGCGGTAAATCGCACGGCAGGCCGGCGCCGCGCCCGGGCCAAGGCCGTCGCCCAGTCCGGCAGCGGGGCGCCCCACCGCATCGCTTCGCACGCCGGACGCGACCGACGCTGGAGCGACGGCGCCGCCTGCCGTCGGCGCCCGCTCCGCCGGAACGGGCCGCGGTTGTAACGAGCCGTCCGGGACCGGTCGGCCGAACGCGAGCGGCGCCCGGGGACGGCTGCGTTAATGGCCTTATCCGCCGCACGGCTCGCAGATTTGCTGCATGGAAACAGCTGCTCGGCACAGATGGGCTGTCTGACCGTCTTACAGATCAGGCACAAGGACAAGGCACGGTGTGGCGATTGCTGGCCGGTGATGATGATTTGGGTTTGCTGGGGAGGAAGTGGTTGTTCACGTGGATCATGTTTACGTGGCCATGGGGTGGTCATTTCAATGGGAGACTGGATGAGGGAGTTAATGGAAATGAGCTGGTAAGTCGACTGGTTAGCGAGCGAGTTATTTGTGTTCATCTATGATGCCCCGGAATGCGTGAGGCGTGCTATTAAATACGCCCCTAACACGACGGCTACGTCAATATTTGACGAGATCGCAGCACAAACAGAGCACAGCAGGCCCATATGAGCCGCGGGTGAGCTGCGCTCGAGTGGTGTCTGTAATCCCGGCGGCACACTGCCGTAAGCAGTACTCCGCGGCCGGGCGGGCATCGACCAGAGCGGGGGTTCGCCTCACGGGCTGCCCCCGGCGTGTCCTCCTTCGTCCGTCGGCCCGAGAGGCACGACCCAGTGCAGCACGCCCGGCCCGCTGTCCCCGTTGGGCCGGGTCGGGAGCCGGCTGTAGTCGGGCTCCGGGCTGCCGGCTCAGCGGCCGCTACCGCGGAATCGATGGACGCAGCGCCCCGAGCGCGTCTCTCCCTCTCCCTCTCCTCCTCCTCCTTCTCCCTCTCCTTTCCCATTCCCTCTCTTTCCCTCTCTCCACTGCCACTGCCACTGCCACTGCCTCTCTCCCCCCTCTCTCTCTCTCTCTCTCTCTCTCTCTCTCTCTCTCTCTCTCTCTCTCTCTCTCGCTCTCGCTCTCGCTCTCGCTCTCGCTCTCGCTCTCGCTCTCGCTCTCGCTCTCGCTCTCGCTCTCGCTCTCTCTACCTCTCGGCCGTAGCCATAAAGCAGGCGGCCTATCAACTATTGGATTTCGGGGAACGTGGGGGCTGAGCGGCTTCAACTAAAACGGGATTGATTTACACGCCCGAACAAGGAGCCGGGAGATGTGACCAGATATCCGACGACACACAGAACTTGCGCGTTTAAAGAGCGCGGATGCTCAAAAGCCTGCCAACTGCGCTTCCCTTATAGCTTTGAGCGAGCAGCCCACACATCCGCCGGGACATCTGAGGGTAAGAACCAACAGGCTACACAATCGATGACTTATGATTGAACTGGAGAGACCAGTAGAATGCCGCACACCTGCAAACGCACAGCACCTTTAGGTGCCACGCTGAGGCCAACGATGCCAGGTGGTAGGGCATCGTGTCGCTGTACGTCCTGCCACCGTAACCAAGTGTGTTTGTGACGCCGATGCGACCCCCCCCCCCCCCTCGCCACCGGCCGGACCTTCACCGTGCCGCTTCGACCGAGCGCGGCTAACGCCTACAGCCAGGCCGCTGTTGCAGAGGCGGCGCGGACCGACCCGCCGCCGGCGCGCGCGGAGACCTCAGCAAAAAGCATCGCGGCGCGGCCGGCGGCTCGTTACCCCGCCAGGCGGCGCCGCAGTACGGCGCGGCACCCGCACGCCGCCCCCAGACGGAGCGCGACGGCGGTCCGGCTGGCAACAGCCGGCGCAGCCTACTGCCGAGAGGGCTAGGACGCCGCATACCGAGCGCTCCGCCAGCTCTACAGTCGCAGCTGATGAAGACGCAGCACCACCACACGGCAGTGCGTGCCGATAGTCCATCCGACCATCGTTCACGTCTGAACGGCTTTCGGATGACTCTCGTCTGTAACACTTGTGTGCTTGCAGGCCATGCGTCGCATTCTGATCTATGAAATCGTTTACAGCCCGACCACGACACCAAATCAATCAACGCGCGTATTAAGACCATAAATTGCTACTCAACCGACGAGAATCAGTAGTACGACTAGTAATCCACATGACGGAAGCGTCCAGCACCGTAACAAATTCCTACTAGAACCAAAATGGCATCGTAGAAAAACCCGCGAGGAGTGGAACCACTTGCCGGCATGCAACGCACAAAGCTCGGGGTTTGACGTGGCGCCGGCGGCTGCAAGTCTCATGAATACCTGACTTCACATCTTCCGTACTTCAAGTGGCTTCCTTACGGCGCGCCACGTGACGAGAGCGCCGGTTCCCCGCGATGGCTGCCGCAGCCGCGCGGAGGGCTTACCCAGGATCTCGTTGAACTCGGGGTCGGGCTGGCCCTCCTCCACCATCGGCAGATCGTAACCGAGCGCACGCAGGCACGACTTGAACTCCTTGTGGTTCAGTCGGCCTGCCTTCTCCTTGTCGAAATGCCTGCGGGTGGCGACAGGGGAGCGTGTGAAGGGAACCGACCCGAGAGCGGCCAGCGGTGCCTGCGGTATCCATCGGCGGGCGTGACGCGAGAGGCTGACCACAGCCCAGCTCAAGTCGAGCGAAGACAGAACCGGCGCGACAGCACACTGGCACCACACAGCACCGATGGGGAGACCGCACACGGATGCAGCGTTAATGGAAGCGATACATCGTGGCCCACGACAGCCAGCATACAACACATTCAGACGTCCGCCCTCTCACGTTTAGCAGCTGTTTATCACGGCTCGGCGCCCCAGGACCTTCCCTTACATGGTGAATAGTTGACAGAGCACTTATCAGTAAAACAGCGCACGCACAAGCGTCCGATAACACACATCAGGTCAGTGAGCGAATATCGGGCCCCACCCCAGCCGCAGGTCTCAGGGCCTTGCAAGTCCCCGCGGAAGGCATAGCACCCGCTATCGAATATAGGGCCCCACCCAAGCCGCACGTCTCAGGGCCTTGCAAGTCCCCGCGGAAGGCATAGCACCCGCTATCGAATATCGGGCCCCACCCAAGCCGCACGTCTCAGGGCCTTGCAAGTCCCCGCGGAAGGCATAGCACCCGCTATCGAATATCGGGCCCCACCCAAGCCGCACGTCACAGGGCCTTGCAATTCCCCGCGGAAGGCGTAGCACCCGCTACCGCTTACTTGAACATCATGGAGAACTCCTTCAGCGAGTCCTCAGCAACGCCCGACTGGTTGCGGGCCTGGATCTGCTGCTCCAGGTTGTGCTGCATCCGCATGCCCAGCTGGTCCAGCTGGTCCCACTGCTGGGCCAGGCCCACCGTGCTGCCGGACAGGCCCACCGGTCAGCCCACGTCCGACCGCACAGGCCCACCGGTTAGCCCACACATGACCGGACAGGCCCACCGGTTAGCCCACACGTGACCGGACAGTCCCAACGGCCAGCCCACGCATGACCGGACGGGCCCACCGGTTAGCCCACACATGATCGGACAGACTCACTGGCCTCCGTGCAGTTACGATACTATACAGACCCGTGAGATTTATTGGCAACGGTGTTGGGCTTCCAGATCCCAATTACAGCTTCAAGAACCGTTGCAGCTCACCAAGAAAGCGCATGGTTTGGAATCGGGGCATTTCACTGAGCATTTTGTCTCGGTAGTCATTGATACATAGGAAGAACTGCCATTTTTGGTTAAAGGCCTGCACTTAAATGATATGAGTTTTTCATTACAGTGAAATTAACAAGACGGAAAGATACAATCGCATCTTATTAAATTGCCTACAGAAAACAAAAACAAAATGAGCCCAGGCGTCGCAAAAGCCTCGGGAATACACAAAAACAACCACAGTCTGTTCGTGCCTTACTTTGCACGATCGGCTCTAGCCGACCTTCCGATTTATCTGGGATCATGATAGGATATAGTCGCTGAAAGGCCACACAAACCCCTGAACTGTGTCCGCCCCCGCACCCCGCAGCTGTGTGCCGTCGGCTCCGTCCGTGCCGTCTGGCCGGTACAGCGGCAAATCTCTGAGCGTCGGCACCTCGGCCAGGACAGCCCAGGGCGGTGGGACGGGCGCAGACGGCACCCAGCTGCGGCGCCGGACAGGGCCGGCCAGGGCAGCCCCGGGCGGCAGGGCGGGTGTAGACGGCACCCAGCTGCGGCGCCGGACAGGGCCGGCCAGGGCAGCCCTGGGCGGCAGGACGGGTGTAGACGGCGCCCAGCTGCGGCGCCGGACAGGGCCGGCCAGGGCAGCCAGGGCAGTGGGGTGGGCGCAGACGGCACCCAGCTGCGGCGCCGGAGCGGGGCCGGCCAGGGCAGCCCGGACGGTGGGACGGGCGCAGACGGCACCCAGCTGCGGCGCCGGAGCGGGGCCGGCCAGGGCAGCCCCGGACGGTGGGACGGGCGCAGATGGCACCCAGCCGGCGCCGCAGGTGGGCGGCTCTAGCCGGCCTGTCGAGCGCAGCACGTCGCACCCGTCGATATCGACCATCGGCGGCGCTGATTAGTGCCGAGCCTGATCCGCGCTGGAGGCACTGGTGCCGAGCCTGATTCGTCGCCTGACTGGGCCGGCTCGCACGAACACACGGCAGCCACCGATCAGCTCCGACGGCGCCCGTTACCGCGGCCGCCGCCTGAGCTGGGCTGTGGCGCCCGTCACCGCGGCCGCCGCCTGACACCACAGCCCAGCCTGCCGGCCTGAGTCTGAGTCGGCCGTCCTCAGCCGAGCGTTCCCGCGTGACAGTGGCGCCGGTGGCGACCAGCCGGCCCGGCACGCCGCTGGAGGTCTGGGCCACGCCCGCGCGCGGCCGGCTCTATCTGCCTTCAGGGGCCGCCCCTGCGGCCGGCTGAGGCTATGGCGGCCGCTCCCTCTCTGACGGCCCCACCGCACCACGGCCGGGCTGCCACCGACAGCGTCCGAGCGGCGCCGCTGCGGCCGGCGCGGCCACCGGTCCCGCCAGTCCGATGCCAGCCGGCACCGCGCCGCCATGGACCATATGATCCCGGCATCGGTGGTCCCATGACGGCCGGGACCGCCGCCGCTGACCGCGCGGAGCCGGCGCGGCGCCAGCCGTCCCAATGGAGTCCGGCCGTGGCTGACGCCACCCGAGCCGTGAGCCGGCGCATGCGCGGCACGGCGGCCTAGGCCGGCCCGGTGCGGCCAGGTCCCGGCCCCGCTCTAATCAGGCCGCTGGTGGTCCAATGGCGGACTTCACCATCAGCCCCGCCGCATGTCACGGCCAGCTTGGTGGCCAAAATTGCAGTTGCACAATTCACTTGTGTTCGGTGCATGAGTCGTCATTAGGAGCTGTAATCCCAGGTGGCCGAACGAGCGAATTCCATGTTAGACAGACTCGTTCTTTGAGGGTCTTTTATCAGGTTTGAATAGCAGCGCATGTTCAGCTTTCGAAATGACAACCCATCGCACGCCCTTGCACATTTCATATTTAAATCGACGGTCCTACGACGTAGCAATAACTCACCACGCGCATCGAAGGGCGGCCGCTTCAGCGCCCATGTATGCGAAGCGCCTGCATGACGTCACCCGCCCTGGCAAAACATTGCACGCCGTACCATGCCAAGCTCTCTGCCCGCCGTGTCGCCAGCCGAGCTCGAGACCCGCATCGGTGACCCACTCGGCCGCGGCCGCTGCCGGAGGCCATCGCCGGCCAGCTCGCAGCGGCGACACCCGACGAGCCCTTACATCAGGCGGCGTCGGCGCGGCTCTCATTAGAGCGGCCGGCGCAGATACGGCTTCCGGCCAGCTAACGACCACAGAGGCCAACAGGACCCGGCCGGCCGGCGGCGTCTGATCCGGCGGTGTCTGATCCGGCGGCGTCTGATCGGGCAGCATCTGATCCGGCAGCATCTGATCCGGCGGCGTCTGATCCGGCAGCATCTGATCTGACGGCGTCTGATCCGGCGACGTCCGATCCGGCGACATCTGGTCCGGCGGTGTCTGATCCGGCGGCGTCTGGTCCGGCAACGTCTGATCCGGCAGCATCTGATCCGGCGACGTCTGATCCGGCGGCGTCTGATCCGGCGACGTCTGATCCGGCGGTGTCTGATCGGGCAGCGTCTGATCCGGCGGCACCTGATCCGGCGACGTCTGATCCGGCGGCACCTGATCCGGCGACGTCTGATCCGGCGGCGTCTGATCCGGGGGCGTCTGATCCGGCGGCCGTCATCAGGCCCACACTAGCCGCCACCCAGCTGGTCACTCCCGAGTCACCCCTGGACAGCTGGTCACTCCCGAGTCAGCTCTGGACAGCTGGTCACACTGAATCATCCCCTTCACAGATATGACTGAGTTTCCCGTGAAGTCCTGTTCTGTCCCCTCCCGCCAGCTGACCCCTTCCAGATCAACTCTTCTGAGCTGCCTTCACCCGAGTGACCTCCAAACATCTGAAACTCCCCGGCTTCAGAAAGCCGACCTGCCCGGGGTCATCCAACAAAGCTGTTGAAGGTCACCCCACCAGAATGACCTGTCAGGTCTCCGACCTCTGACCTCTCTCAGGTCTGCCCTCTGAGGCTGGCCACTTCTGGGTCCATCACCTCCGGATACAATACAGCCCAGCTGTCTGTGCAGACCCCGCAGTCACGCTGCGAACCTCTTCCTCCCGCTCATGTCCTTCCACCGAACTGAAGCTGGCCCACATCCTCCCCCCCCCCCCCCACCCCCGACACTGAACCAATCCTCATCTTGTCGTCATGCACTAACGACGGCCCTCAGCGCCGACCTTCCGGCCGAGCGTGCCTCAATCTGAGCCGAGCCAGCTGCCGCCAGCCCTCGGGTGCCTGGTCTGGAGCGGAGCGGTGCGGCGCCGACCCCGCCACAGGCCGGCCCAGCGCCGCTCCCAGAGGAGGCGGAGGCGGCAGGCCGGCAGCACACTGCGCCAACAGGCGACCAGCTGCAGAGTCCGAGCCGAGGGCGGGCACTGCTCGATCCCGGACCATGAGTCAGACGGACCGCGCTCCCGCCGCCCAGCGTCCAGTTGCCCACACACGCTGTGATATCATTTCCAGGCACCACTTACATGCCTGAGCTTGCGTATTCCGACAGCATTAAAATCTTCCGGCCAACGAATTGATTTAATAATGTCATTCTCAGAAGTTCGGGCTTGAAATCTGGATAGTTTTCTGGAAGACATCCGATAATGGGGAGGCATCGATTTATTCTGACCTTCAAGCAGTACATATCGACACCATTTCCCCGAACCGAATAGCTGTCCAGATGCGTCGAGTGGGAGATCATGGGAAAGTTCCCGCGCTCGTGCCCGCGGCTATTTCATGCACAACGCATATCGATTGTCGTGTGCTTTGCCCGCCCCCTTCGCCGACCCGCATGGGGCGTCGCTAGACATCACCGGTCTCCTCCGTCGCGGCCGCACTCCTTCCGACAACGTCACGCCATGATCCACGCAGAACCGAGGACGCCCCTGCGCGGCGCCGTTCAGAAAACTTCAGATTAGCAAATCAAGCACCCTGAAATAAGCTATTCCCGGGCGGGCTTTAAACGTTATCAGCAGCTGCTATCACGCACCAAATGCGCTGCCACAGAAGCCATTCGGGGATTCCATGAATTTTTATCAGCTCGTGCTACAACCGAAAAGCCGCAAGGTCACAGTTCCGTGGGCGATGAACAGAAGGCCACCGGACGTTAGTAGGTCCCGAGATTGAACCGAACAGTCTAGGAAGATGGTCCTTCTCAGCAGGACCCCGCCGGCGTCCGAACAAGGCGGGGCGGGGCGGGGGGCGGGGCAGGGCAGGGCAGGGCAGGGCAGGGCAGGGCAGGGCAGGGCAGGGCAGGGCAGGGCAGGGCAGGGCAGGGCAGGGCAGGGCAGGGCAGGGCAGGGCAGGGCAGGGCGGCCCGGCTCGGCCCCCTCCCCTGACGGCTCAAGCCCTCACGGTCCGTTCGCCGCCTGCCGCACGGGCAGCCAACAGGTGAGTGTTGTACACGGGACGCCCCGCACCACACGTCTGGGCCGATCCACGCGCACGGCGCACGGCGCACGGCGCACGGCCAGTTCCGTGACGTCGAGCGAGACGGCCGACGGAGAAAACTTTCCGAGAACTTCACGACGGAAAAGCAGATCGGTCCCGTAACGTGAAGAGTTGGAGGGTCGATCAGCAATCGGAGCATCCTGGGCGGGCGCGCAACAGCCGTCCGACGAGACGGTGATGCATGAAAGTATCCCACGCGCCACGAGAACGTTGCAACAGAAGGCAAAAGCAGCCAGCACAACCCGGTCAGTCGCACAGTACGCCAAAGGTAATCACATTGGCCCGTCGGTCGGGTCATTAGGCCCAAATGGAAGATGCCTTCTGTTAAGGCCGAGTTCGCGGCCTTGAGAAACGGCGGTCTACTTCATAATGGCGGCGCGGTACAAGTGCGATTAAGTCGCAGAACACATGTGGCTAAAATCCGTTAAGAGAGCAGAATGGACAGGGGACGCAGTGGTCTTGAACGAACAGAAAACACTCTTGTTTTGTTTTCTCAGTAATTTGTCTTCACGAATCCCTTGCACCCCCTGATGTCAGATCGATCTGGCCATATTCGGCGCCGCGCAACACTTCAGTCATGGCCGGCGTTCCAGCGTTCTCGCTACAGCCGACGCCTTCCAGCGGACAACAAAGCTGGTGCGATGGATCTTTTTTCGTTCAGGCAGCGGAAAGAACGGCGGCGACTTGGCCACCACTTCACACCAGCGCCGCGCAGTGTAATTTAGACGGCGAATCTTGTTTCCTCTGCTGTTGTTGGACCGAAGTCGTAGGAGCTTGAGGCGTAAACAGTGCCGCTCCTAATACGACTCGTCCGCCTCAGCCAGCCAGCGACTTCAGCATCGCTCCAGTGGGCGATCTTCCTAGACAGGCCGGTCCGCCACACCGCGCGCCCCAGCGCCGGCGCTGGGCGGCGCCGCTGTCAGGCCAGCGGGCCGCGCTCCGGCCGGACCCATGCTCCGGTGGCGTCCCTCGGCGCTAGCCGTCTGCGGCGCGCGGCCATTGGTCACGCCGGGTCGCTGCTTGCGACAGGGGCGGGGGGGGGGGGGGATAGCCAAACCCGTCCATGGCAGCCCTTGCTTTGCCCTCCCCTCCCCCATCAGTGCCGGCGGGCGCGGTCAGCAGTGTCGCCGCTCACCTGTGCTCGGTGTAGCGGTTGTCCAAGATGAGGTGCTCCTCCAGGATAGCTCCCAGGTCCTCGATCTTCTTGAGGTCGCTGCGGCGAGCGCGCACCTCGGCCGCCTTCTTCTTCACGGCCTCCAACTGCTGCTCGAGGGTGCCAGAGCCCTCCATCATTGACGACCTGGCGGTGACGAAGGTGGCGTTAGAAGGGTGCAACGACGACGGCACCGACAGTGGAGAAGTGGCGGAATTGCCAGTGCAGCGGTGACAGGATCGACGGTGGAGCTGTGACGGGATCGGTAGTGGAGCAGTCACGAGATCGACAGTGTAGCACTGACGGGATCGACGGCGGAGCAGTGGCAGGATCAACAGTGACAAACAGTGGCGGGATCGACAGTAGAGTAGGGACAGGATAGACAGTGGGGCAGTGACGGGATCGACAGTGGGGCAGTAACGGGATCGACAGTGGAGCAGTGACGGGGTCGGCAGTGGGGCAGTGGCAGGATCGACAGTGGGGCAGTGACGGGGTCGACAGTGGGGCAGTGACGGGATCGACAGTGGAGCAGTGACGGGGTCGACAGTGGGGCAGTGGCGGGATCGACAGTGGAGCAGTGACGGGGTCGACAGTGGGGCAGTGGCAGGATGGACAGTGCGGCAGTGACGGGGTCGACAGTGGGGCAGTGACGGGGGTCGACAGTGGGGCAGTGACGGGATCGACAGTGGAGCAGTGACGGGGTCGACAGTGGGGCAGTGACGGGATCGACAGTGGAGCAGTGACGGGGTCGACAGTGGGGCAGTGGCAGGACTGACAGTGGGGCAGTGACGGGGTCGACAGTGGGGCAGTGACGGGATCGACAGTGAAGCAGTGACGGGGTCGACAGTGGGGCAGTGACGGGATCGACAGTGGAGAAGTGACGGGTCGACAGTGGGGCAGTGGCAAGATCGACAGTGGGGCAGTGACGGGGTCGACAGTGGGGCAGTGGCAAGATCGACAGTGGGGCAGTGACGGGGTCGACAGTGGGGCAGTGGCAGGATCGACAGTGGGGCAGTGACGGGGTCGACAGTGGGGCAGTGGCAGGATCGACAGTGGGGCAGTGCCGGGGTCGACAGTGGGGCAGTGGCAGGATCGACAGTGGGGCGGTGGCAGGATCGACAGTGGGGCAGTGACGGGGTCGACAGTGGGGCAGTGGCAGGATCGACGGTGGGACAGTGGCAGGATCGACGGTGGGGAGGTGACGGGGTCGACAGTGGATCACAGCGGCGGGGCCAATCGTGCTGCACAACAGCGGCGGATCACCGCCGGCACTGGCACTAGGCCAGTGATAGCATGACGTAAAACGACCCACGGCGGACCAGTGACAAGACCGACATCGACACGGCGCACGCACCGACAGCGGAACAGCGCCAGCTCCGCCATTGCACGGCGGAAGGACCCATTGTGGCCCATATGCCGGAACCGCCGGCGGCCGGTACAGTGGACCGGCGGACGCGCGCCGCGTCCGTCCTCCGATTCAGACGTCACCGTCAGCGGCGGCGGCGCGCCCCACGCCCATTCAGCGGCGCGGCGGCGCGGCGCGCGTCCTCACCTCCCTCAAGACGGACACGCGGCGCGCGCCGAAAAACAACGCGCATTACAGGCACGCTCCGGTGGTTGTTTTCCGGACTTTCGGAAGAATGATGGTCAGCGCAGCGGCGGCAAATTTAGCAGATTGAACGTGAACGGCAAGACAAGGGAAGGGCCAGAGCCAAGTGGATGAGCGATGTGCGACAGATGAGACAGACGACGAAAATAGACCCGACAAACACTGTGTGGTGGGCGCACAAAACACTCTCGGCCCGGCCGTTTTCGACACCGAATACACCCGCAAGATGCGCCACAAAGTAAATCGATGTCGTTACCAGGCGACAACCCACTCCCATCGGTATTGGCTGCCACGTCTTCATCGAGGGCGGGGCGGGAAGAACAATGAGAAAGTTAGATTGGAAATTTCCGCAGCAGCGAAAACTGGCCGCCAGGGACGCCGCCTCTCGCAGCGGCACACCGGCGCCGATCGAAGGCCGTCTTCAGGGCGCGACGCGACTGACAAAAGGCTCCACAGGCAGCGTGAATACCGCCGAGCTGGCGGCACGGGCTCCGCAGGAGGGGTCGTCCCTCACCAGAGCACGCCTCCGCCGAACGAGCCCCCCCCCCCCCCTCTCCCGCTCACTAGAGCGCGCCTCCGCCGCCCCTCAGCACAAGGCGAGCACTCAGTGGCGCGGTCCACGCCCTCGGCGTCACACCATCGCTGCGTGCCGCTGTAGAAACACGCGAACCCAGACCCCGCGCGGGAGCCGGCGGCGCTTAACATTTGGCCATAACGACCCGGCCCCCTTCACCGTTGTTAATTGGGATTGTTGGGCGCGTCGAGTGCCATGCTCATTAGACCCCTATACAGAAGTGTGGCCTACTTAGCGCTGAGTGTGACACGCACTTGAGGCACGCGCGCATCGCAGAAAATCTCAGAGCTTTGAGAAATGCGGACAGTTTCTTTGCCTAGAGAGCATGGAGATCATCGCTCAGGTCATCCGGCAGTGATCCAGTGCGCCTGCGGCGGGGACGCGATCGCTCACCGTCGAACTGCGCACCTGGCCAGACAGCATGGCAAACTGCGCGGCAGCCAACGGGAGCACACAGGCACGAGCCTCCGAACGTACCCGGAAGTGGCGGCTGGTCCGCACACTCACCTAGTCCCGGTCAGCCAGGAGTGGAAGGCGTTGGCGTGCTTGGCGAACTCCTTGTCCGCACACTCACCTAGTCCCGGTCAGCCAGAAGTGGAAGGCGTTGGCTTGCTTGGCGAACTCCTTGTCCGCACACTCACCTGGCCTCGGTCAGCCAGAAGTGGAAGGCGTTGGCGTGCTTGGTGTACTCCTTGTCCGCACACTCACCTAGTCTCGGTCAGCCAGAAGTGGAAGGCGTTGGCGTGCTTGGCGAACTCCTTGCGCAGCTTGTCGTTCTCGTCCTGGCGCTGCGCCTCCTTGGTCAGCTCCATGTCACGCTCCTGCCAGGCAGACGAGCCGAATGATGTCGCCACCGGCAGTCGCCAGCTTCCGAACGGCACCCGAGTCCCGTGGGCTCCGTTCTAAGCTCCCCCCCCCCCCCCCCCCCACCCAAAGCCTGAACGTTCTACGGGGGATGGATTCGGCAACAAAGCTCTTGCAGGAGAACCTGGCCCTCATCGCCCCAGCAGTGCAATCCCAGCTCAATGGACAATTTTCGCCTCGGGCTCATGACCAAGTCCTGAAATGCCGTGACACCGGGCCACCGTCGCGATCACCGGCTCTACTGGTCAAGTGTAGGCAACTGGCAAGGACGAGCCACACACGCCCCATTCCTGAGACGTAAACGTACGCATTGAAGTGTTACGCGAATCTTGGCGAGTGGTCCACGCTCTTCCAACGGAACTTCCAAGGCGGCCATGTTACATTCCCTGTCGATTGAATAAGTTATTCCGAAAGAAGCCTTGAAGCTGAGCCAGTCCATCAGCCATCTTAGATGATTGATGACAATACTGTCCTGGCGGGCATCCATGCACTTTCTGCATATTTGATGAGCACCGCCTTAGACAGACACTTCGGAAGCCTCCTGAGTGCGATAAGGCAATCTGAGCTTAGCTCATATGTCTCTTGCTGTCCACCCCACCCCGGCAATAGTTCACATCGTCGAACGTGCACCTCCGGCACCAAATGCCGAACAACTGAACCGACATAGCAGAGCTTCAGACACAAGGCCGCATCTGCTGCGCCGATCTTTAACATGTGGTTTCCGGTCGTGCCCAGCTCGGCAGCTGCAGCCCGACGCTCCGCCAGCAGCGGCTGGGTGGGAGCCGACGGGGCGCCGGCTGGAGCCGGTGCTGCTCCTGCTCCGCCCGAGGAGCCGCTCCGCCAGCAGCGGCTGGGTGGGAGCCGACGGGGCGCCGGCCGGAGCCGGTGCTGCTCTTGCTCTCCCCCCGAGGAGCCGGTGCTGCTCCTGCTCTCCCCCCGAGGAGCCGTGGCGCCGTGCAGCGCCGTCAATACACAGCACCTCACGCGCTCGGCGGCATGCATATCAAGCGGGTGATATCGGTGTGTCGGGCCGTCGCGCCAATAACGCCGCATACAATGCGTCCGACGTGCCGCCCCGGCCCGGCGGCGCCGCTCGGTCGCCCCGCCGGCGCCGCCCGGCGCCCCGCCCGGCGCCGCCTGGCCGCGGCCGGAGAGCGGCGAGCGCCCCGCCCGGCGTCGCCTGGCCGCGGCCGGAGAGCGGCGAGCGCCCCGCCCGGCGTCGCCTGGCCGCGGCCGGAGAGCGGCGAGCGCCCCGCCCGGCGCCGCCTGGCCGCGGCCGGAGAGCGGCGAGCGCCCCGCCCGGCGCCGCCTGGCCGCGGCCGGAGAGCGGCGAGCGCCCCGCCCGGCGTCGCCTGGCCGCGGCCGGAGAGCGGCGAGCGCCCCGCCCGGCGCCGCCTGGCCGCGGCCGGAGAGCGGCGAGCGCACCGCCGGCGCTCCGAGCGGCGCCGGGCGACCTCGGCACGCGCCACACCGGAGTGGCCCGGTCCGAGCGTGACGGGTCCCCCGGCACCCCATCAGCGCCGGCGCCGCCTCCCACTGTGTCGGCTCGGACCGCGGCTACCGCTCGCAAAATCCCGCCAAACGACGCCCGCCGATGGCAGGCGCATGCGAAACACCGGCCGCGACCTCGCTGCCCGAACGGGCTGGCGTGCCCGGTCCTGACTGCCATAGTAAGTCTCTCCAGGGTGATAAAACTTCTAAACAGGTGGAGAAGTCTAGCATGCACCTGGTGGGCGAGAAAATCACGACTTAGTTTGAAGGATACTGCTAATGATAATTGAGTACGAGCACTCCACTGCATGTCCCCCTCCTTCCTAAACACATATACACACCGACCACTGGGTAGGTGGCGCGGCGTAGGTGCAACGTTGTTCTAAAGACTCACTTGCGCGCTGGCTGAGCTGCGTAGCGCACAAAAGTTCACAGAATAAACCCTAGCTAGACCAAATGGCTATGCAACCACGACAATAGCATAGACTAGAATAACATGGATGAAGCTTGAGGCGACAAAGCTTCTGGGAAGTCGAAAAAGGTCATGACGAGCGCCTCAGAATCTCGAGCTCCCCACAAGCAGGAGAAACAGCGCAGATCACTACTAAAGTTCAGCGGGAAACGACCGGAAAATAGCCGTTGGGTCCGCTCCGAAGCATCCTGTCGAGGCGGAGAAATCTCCCGAGTTCTGCGCAGTCCTCCCCAGTTGCAGACCATTTCGCCGCGTACATGAATGACAATGGGCACCCGCGAACGACATTTCCACCGCCTCCAGCCTCAACTCACACAGCGCGCCGCAGCAGAATGCGCCTGCCGTGAACGGAGCAGAGCCTTTAAGCGTGGAGGCTGCCGCGCCCGGTCCACCGGCCGGTCACTGCCCGCTCTCATCTGGCTGCGTCGGGACGGGACCGCGCACGGTCCACCGGCCAGTCACCGCCCGCTCTCATCTGGCTGCGTCGGGACGGGACCGCGCCCGGTCCACCGGCCGGTCACTGTCCGCTCTCATCTGGCTGCGCCGGGACGGGACCGCGCCCGGTCCACCGGCCGGTCACTGTCCGCTCTCATCTGGCTGCGTCGGGACGGGACCAGGCCGGCTAGACACACGACCGAACCGAACCGGTGTCCCGTCAGCCGAAGCACGCGGTGCGCCGACGGGCAACGCCTCTGTATACTGAAGACCGCTGACGGCGACCTGTGTCAGCTCCTCGCCGGTCGTCAGCTTCAGAGGGACGTCCGGTGACGTCCACACGGCTGACGTCATCGGCTCCAGCAGGCTCTCTGGCACCAACTGTCCTGCTGACGTCATCGGCTCCAGCAGGCCCTCCGGCACCGACTGTCCTGCTGACGCCACCGGCTCCAGCAGACCCTCCGGCGCCGAGTGTCCTGCTGACGCCACCGGCTCCAGAAGGCCCTCTGACACCTGCCGTCCTGCTGACGTCATCGGCTCCAGCAAGCCCTCTGACACGGGCTGTCCTGCTGACGTCACCGGCTTCAGAAGACCCTCTGACACGGGCTGTCCTGCTGACATCATCGGCTCCAGCAGGCTCTCTGGCACCGAATGCCCTGCTGACGTCATCGGCTTCAGAAGGCCCTCTGACACCTGCTGTTCTGCTGACGTCATCGGCTCCACCAAGCCCTCTGACACCGGCTGTCCTGCTGACGTCACCGGCTCCAGTAGGCCGTCCTGAGATCGGCCGTCTGGCTGCCCGCCGCCCAATAGGCGTCCCCAAGGCCAGCTCGGCCACATTTGAATGGCCATTAGCGGCAGGCTGCCGGCCAGCCCTCAAAACGATATTGGCGCCGACAGCCGACGCAATCTAATCGAACGCCTAAATGTGGAGCGGCTGTCTGCGGGGGGAGCCACACCCGGCGCCGCCCCCCCCCCCCTCCCTCTCTACCCCGCCTGCCGTCGGGCAGCGCCCGGCCGCGCACAGCGCAGTCGACCTTCCATCCAGAGGAGAGGCCGGGCCAACCGCCGGTCACGGGAAGCAGAGCCGAACCCTGCCGCATTACAGACGCCTCGTCTGCCGACTGGCTCGTCCGACAGCAGCGGTTCGGAGAGCACCGGTCCTCCCCGGGCGGCTCTATCGCCGGGGCGAGAGCTTGATGGCAGGCGGCTGGCGGACGGAAACGACGCCCCTTCAAGTGGCGTCTGCACTTCGGCCAAAGGGCCCAGGGCATTGCGTGCCATGTTTGAAAGCTGTGGGAACCCCGGCGCTCCGCACACTCATTCCAACAAGGTACGGTCATGGCTTGATGACGGCGTTGTTGGTGGTACACAAAGGTTCACGACCAGAACTTGTCGCAAACTTTAATCTTTAACATATGGTTTCTGGGATGCGAAGAACCATTTTCGCAGTGCGCTGCAGAATTGTACCTTAATTTAAGGCAGTGCTTTTGATAGCAAGTACTGCCACTGACTCCATCTCACATCTCAATTGGATACTCCAGCAGCTTCAGGACTATTGCCAGCCAGCCCCGGTCCAAGGGAACATCACTCACGGCAAACTGCTTGGCTCCGTGAATGCTTTGCGCAGGTCAATTTACAACATAATAACGATATGAGAAGAAAGGAATCTGTAAGACGCAAAAATGCGGAAAAGGCCGACCTGGATCTCAAATAGCATCGCGCGAAACCAACATCTTCAAACGGCACATCATTGCGAGCATCGGACACTCACTTTCACATCCCGCCGCAATGTTGTAAGTCGACGAAAAGCGGCTATCCAAGCGACCTCGTCGAAGAAGCCGCTTTAATACCGAAAGCGTGAAACCGTTACTGAGGCCCCGAACCACACAAGCACTAAAAACGTACGATGGGAAACACTGGGAATGGGGTCTGAATCCCGTTGAGGAAGTCCGAGTCCCGATATACGACTACACTGGGAATGGAGGCCTGAACCCCGCTGAGGAAGTCCGAGTCCCGCTATACGACTACACTGGGAATGGGGGCCTGAACCCCGCTGAGGAAGTCCGAGTCCCGTTATACGACTACACTGGGAATGGGGGCCTGAACCCCGCTGAGGAAGTCCGAGTCCCGCTATACGACTACACTGGGAATGGGGGCCTGAACCCAGCTGAGGAAGTCCGAGTCCCGCTATACGACTACGCTGGGAATGGGGGCCTGAACCCCGCTGAGGAAGTCCGAGTCCCGCTATACGACTACACTGGGAATGGGGGCCCGAACCCCGCTGAAGAAGGCTGAGTCCCGCTATACGACTACACTGGGAATGGGGGCCTGAACCCCGCTGAGGAAGTCCGAGTCCCGCTATACGACTGCACTGGGAATGGGGGCCCGAACCCCGCTGAGCAAGTCCGAGTCCCGCTATACGACTACACTGGGAATGGGGGCCTGAACCCCGCTGAGGAAGTCCGAATCCCGCTATACGACTACACTGGGAATGGGGGCCTGAACCCCGCTGAGGAAGTCCGAGTCTCGCTATACGACTACACTGGGAATGGGGGCCTGAACCCCGCTGAGGAAGTCCGAGTCCCGCTATACGACTACACTGGGAATGGGGGCCTGAACCCCGCTGAAGAAGTCCGAGTCCCGTTATACGACTACATGGGAATGGGGGCCTGAACCCCGCTGAGGAAGTCCGAGTCCCGCTATACGACTACACTGGGAATGGGGCCTGAACCCAGCTGAGGAAGTCCGAGTCCGCTAGACGACTACGCTGGGAATGGGGGCCTGAACCCCGCTGAGGAAGTCCGAGTCCCGCTATACGACTACACTGGGAATGGGGGCCCGAACCCCGCTGAAGAAGGCTGAGTCCCGCTATACGACTACACTGGGAATGGGGGCCCGAACCCCGCTGAGGAAGTCCGAGTCCCGCTATACGACTGCACTGGGAATGGGGGCCCGAACCCCGCTGAGGAAGTCCGAGTCCCGCTATACGACTGCACTGGGAATGGGGGCCCGAACCCCGCTGAGGAAGTCCGAGTCCCGCTATACGACTACACTGGGAATGGGGGCCTGAACCCCGCTGAGGAAGTCCGAATCCCGCTATACGACTACACTGGGAATGGGGGCCTGAACCCCGCTGAGGAAGTCCGAGTCTCGCTATACGACTATGGGAATGGGGGCCTGAACCCCGCTGAGGAAGTCCGAGTCCCGCTATACGACTACACTGGGAATGGGGGCCTGAACCCCGCTGAAGAAGTCCGAGTCCCGTTATACGACTACACTGGGAAATGGGGGCCTGAACCCCGTGAGGAAGTCCGAGTCCCGCTTACGACTACACTGGGAATGGGGGCCTGAACCCAGCTGAGGAAGTCCGAGTCCCGCTAGACGACTACGCTGGGAATGGGGGCCTGAACCCCGCTGAGGAAGTCCGAGTCCCGCTATACGACTACACTGGGAATGGGGGCCCGAACCCCGCTGAAGAAGGCTGAGTCCCCGCTATACGACTACAACTGGAATGGGGCCCGAAACCCCGTGAGGAAGTCCGAGTCCCGCTATACGACTGCACTGGGAATGGGGGCCCGAACCCCTGAGGAAGTCCGAGTCCCGCTATACGACTACACTGGGAATGGGGGCCTGAACCCCGCTGAGGAAGTCCGAGTCCCGCTATACGACTACACTGGGAATGGGGGCCTGAACCCCGCTGAGGAAGTCCGAGTCCCGCTATACGACTACACTGGGAATGGGGGCCTGAACCCCGCTGAGGAAGGCTGAGTCCCGCTATACGACTAAACTAGTTTGTAATCCGGGCCAAATTTGACTGACGGGCAATCCCGGCCAACAGGGCCGACCACACTCAAGGCAAGGACGATTCTTGCTGACTGGACGGCTATTTGCAGGCGGCAGATATGAGCAGAAGTCGCCTGCTCTCCAGGATTGCTCTCCTGCTCTCCAGGAAAGTACAGATCGTCCTATAGCAAGCAGCGTCGTTTCAAAACGTTCATAGATGAACACCAAAATTCACACGATCCGAAAGTCATGCGCCGGCTAAACTCGCTTTAGCTCACGACGACTAATCCGCATTGAAACGGCTGGCGAGTGTGGCGTTACCGCACGTCACACAACCGCCCGGCCGGGCCCCAGCTGCCGCCCATCACAAGTTTCGGGCCAGTCTGAAGTCTGGGCTGTACGGCTGGATAGCGGGTAACGAACGGGAAGTTCGGGCCGCGATCGCCGAGAAGTTGAAAGAAGTTCGCCAGGAAGAGCGCCAAAGGCTGATGGGTCGAACCAGAGTGTCAGATTGCGGCCAGTGAGGGCTACCTGGCGCTGCCGCCGCTTTTGTGGAGAACAACATGGCTGTGCAGGTTCTGGTCATGCCTTGCTTACTTACACTTTTTGAAGGGAATTTTCAAGCGAGGCGACGCATGTCATCGAAGATAAAAGAGAATGGGTCTTATAGACTTTGACCTGTGAACATTTTTTCATTCAATTTTTAGGTTTTCTATAATTTTCTTACCTAAAAAATAATCAGTAATAAGCTGGTAGTTCCAACCATGTCTAAAAGTGAATAACTAACCTAATATCATTTCGTCCCCAGCCTTCGGTGAGCTCCCGCCCTCGATCGAGTCTGGTTCGCAGTGGCTCTGACTCCCAAAACAGCTCTCTACCCAAAGAACAATGAGCTCGGACCCATTCATTTGGCGTGCCATGGCGTATTTGGCTGTATCAATCAACTTATCTGATGCTGTTCGCGTGCACCACCCTGGCCTACGTCACCGCCTTGTAGAAAGGAGCCAAACTAGGCGGGTAGCGCTCCCAGGAACAAGCTCTTCTATCCCTGTTCTTAAGTCACACCACCGCAAAGACGGACGAGAATCCGCACCCGAGACTGACATCAGAGTGAAAACCGACCGCATTTCGCATCACGGGTACCAGTTGGGCTGGTCGGCAGCCGTTCAGACAATTGCGATGATTCAGCGAGCAGCGCCAGGCTAGTGCAACACATTCCCCTTCTCGGCGGAGATCCGAAGGACTCTCCAAATTTTAAAGACCAACACGGTTGAAGCGAGCGCCGAAGCTTGCTGCGCGGCTGTCGGCCCGGAGGCCTACATACTCGTGTACGCCGTCAAATGCGGACCAGGTGCGTTTGAAGAGCGACTTGAGACGCAATAAAGCGGCAAGAATCACACCGAGAGCTTCATAACGAGCGTCGGTGCGGCGGCCGGTGCGCCGCGGACCGGCCGTCGGCTCACGGCGACGGCCACTTTAATAAGCATCTGTCACCAGTCGTTAACTGGCTCACTCGTTCATAACGGCGGTCGGCGCCATCCGAGCCCACTGCGGCAGTCAATACGGGCGCGAGCAGCGCGTCACCACCGGCAAACAACACCAACTGGCAACGCGTGCTGGCTGCCTCGGATGGCGAGCGCCTCGCCTCCTCCCACCTCTCGAACGCGCCGCGCCCTTATCTCCGCCACCTGGCGTACTGTGTCCCTTCTCGCCTCCCCCACCGCGGCGCCGCGTCCTATCTCTCCCCATTTATTCTTCCTGCTTATTCCTCGCCACCTCATTCATCCCCCACCCCCTCCCCGCCCCATTCCCGGGCCGCCTCGCGCCGCGCCGGCCGCCGGCGTCTTCTCTCCAACAGAGAGCGCCACCTCGGCCGGGCCGGGCCGGGCCCGGGCCGGCCGCGCCAGGCCCGACCGCTCAGCTCGTGCCGATCGATTTGGGTCGGCCGGCGGCCCGGCGGAGATGGCCCGCCCGGGGCCGGGCGCGCCGCCGCGCCCCACCCGCCGGGTAATCAGAGCACCTGCGGTTTCCGGAGCGGAAGGGACGGAGGTCGATCGGGGCTCGCTGGGCCGGCGGCGGCGCGGCGCCCGCCTCCTGAGCGTTCGGCTTCGCAAGCCGGAGGAACTAGCGCCCGCCCGAGTCAAGTGATTGGCTGGCACCTCGGCAGAGCCTACCCTACGCTCCCCAGTCGGGTGACCCTGGCTCCACCGCTCACAGCAGCGCGCGTTCTGCACAGGTGATTACCCTGCAGGCCTTATGATACATACCGGCCGTCTGAAAGCCCGGTTTGCATGTGCGAAGCTGAGCGTGCCTTTAAATCATCGGTCAGAAAAGACACTCAAACTGCACGGACTTGAAGCTGACAAATACGGAAGCAAGAAGCCGCGCCCAGACCGGGCACGTCTGAGAACCGCAGCCCACTGTCACATGCGAGTCCCCCAGCCTGGATGCCCAGCCCGCACAGGGTCACGACCCCGCCGCGACCCGGCCACAGCCACCTTACCTGGATGATCTTCTGCAGGTTCTTCCACGTGTCCTCCAGCGCCTCCATGGTGAACCAGGTGTAGGGGTTGGGGCCGACGTTGTAGGACTTGATGCGCTGGTCGAGCGCCGCCAGCCCGTCAAAGTCGGCCTGGGCAGACACCAGCGACTCCTGGAACTGTGAGTGGGCCAGCCGCAGCGCGCGGATTTCCTCCGTCGAGTTGCACCGGACCTGTGGGGGAGCGGGGGGGGGGGGGGGGGGGCGTGAGGGTCAGCTCTGCACAGCGACACACTGCTGAGCATCTGATGCACAAGCGTTGGGCGGACGTTACAGGCTGGAGCCGGCGGGAATAGCGAGCGAACAAATGCACCGAAACTTTGACCCTGCCCAAACGTTTAGGGATGTACTCACCGTAATGCATTGACCCATGCCTGATTTTCGCCTACCATGCTGACCTCCAAACCTGTGTAACTGTTGAAGAGAGGAACACCAGAACATACAGCATGTGTCCCATGATGTCAAATGGGGTACGACACGCCCTCCCACGTGTCTGCGCCGAAGCCCTGTCGACCGCCAGCGGCGGCCGGTGGCGCCCCTGCCCGGCGGGGCCGAGCTGGGCGCGCGGCGCAGCGTCGCCACCCACCGGGTCGGTCAGGTCCTCCTCGGCGTTCTCGAACCACGAGTTGAAGGCGGACGCCTTCTTGGCAAAGAGCAGGTACAGCTCCTCGATCTGCTTGAACTGATCCTGCATGCCGAGCAGGCGCTGCTTGCGCTCCTGCGAGTGGGCCAGCAGCTGCTGCCAGCGCGCCATGACGTCGGCGTGCCGGCGCTGGATGGCCGGAGACTGCTCATGGCCGGCCGTCACCAGTCGGTCCTTCAGCGACGTGAAGTTCTGGATGCCCTCCAGCTCGAACGCGTGCAGACCTGGCCAGAGGTGGAGGGTGGCGGGCGTCAGACCGCGGTCGACCGGCGCGTGGAGCTGGGAGTCGGGGGCAAAGCGGGGGAGGCGGAGCAGCCAATGACGAAACAGCTGTGTTATTAAGGCGCCGTGTCAATGCAGCTTTACGACGTACTCAGCCGCTCCGGCTATACAGTGTAGCCTTCCAAGCACCCAGACAGGTGGGGCGGGCACTACAGGGAATCGAACCCCGTACCTCTGGTTTCCCAAATGCGCAGCTTAACCACCAAAGTAGCGTCGGAAGCGGGTACAGCTGCAGCTGTGGCGCCCGTACCGAAGAACGGAGCGGCGGACGAGTGCCAACGCCGCGTTGGACCCAGCGACCACGAGAAAGACCCGGCGTCACCGTGACCCCGGTCACCAACCCTACGAGAACCCACCGGCGTCGAAGGTCTCCTGCTTGGTCAGCAGGGTCTGCACGGTGCTGAGGTCGCGGCCGAAGTCCTCCGACTTGACGTGCGCCTCCTTGTCGGCGATCCAGCTCTCGACCACATCGGCCTTCCACATGAACTGCAGATAGGCCGAGTTGTCCTGCAGCTTCTCCTTGCGACGGCGCGCCAGCTGCGACAGGTTCTCCAGCTTGGACTCGAGCTGCTCGGACCTGCCGGCGCGTGGCGCGCGTCAGGCCACCGGCCAGTGCTGGGCCTCCGTGCCGCGCCACACAACGCATGACAGACGACAGGCTGCGCCGACAGGCCTCAATGACGCACATCGAGAGATGCCATGATTACCATGATCCACACTGAACACTGCAGTGTCATTTGACATTATCACCATGTGCCTATTTTCGCCGAACGCCGCGCCAACACCGACAACATACTACCGCACTCCAGCACACCACTATAATAGCGACGGCCGCGCACCGAGGCGTCCGTCGGCCGTCCGGACCGGGACGCGCCGGCCGCGCCGCCGCCGCTGCCGACGGGCGCAGCTCACTCACCTGGCGCGGATCTGGTCGGCGTGGTGGTTGCCGTCGGCACACAGCTGCTCGCCCTGCTGCAGCACGTCCCGCAGCCGGTCCGTGTGCACGGACAGGTCCGTCTCGAACGTGTCGTGCTTCTTCAGCAGGCCCTGCACGGCCGCCATGTTGTCGCCGTAGTCGTCGACGCCCAGCAGCTGCTGCTTCTCGCTGATCCAAGCCTCCTCCTCCTCCAGCTTGGCCAGGAACGTCTGGTAGACGAGGCTCTGGTCGAGCTTCTGCGTGCGGCCGGAGGACGTGTGGCGCAGCTCCGACCACGCCTGGTCCAGCTGGCGGATACGGTTCTCGATCTGCGGGATCTCCGACGCCGTGCTGACCTCCATCAGCTTCTGGCCCGACTCCTGCACGCGCTGCAGGGCCGGCTCGTGCGACGCCACCTCCGTCTCCATGCGCTTCTGCTTCTTCTTGAGGTTCTGCACGCCGGTCAGGTCGCGGCCGTGGTCGTCGGAGGCCACCAGCAGCTTCTTCTCCCTGCGACCGGATGGCGACGTTAGCGTGGCAACTGCCACCAGTAAAACACCCTCACCGCCTGCTCCGCTTCCCTTTGACCGGCGCTTGTTTATCTGCTTATGACAACAGCGCGCCAGGGAATGTCCGTACTTTTGAGGCTTATCCCACTACAACCCTTCACTCCGCGCTGGTCAAGAGCACATCACGCGCGAGCCCGCGGGGCGACCCACGCCTGGCCGGCGGCCACTCACTTGATCCAGCTCTCCTCGTCGGCGATGTCGCGGAAGAACTGGTGCAGAGTCAGCGCCTCGGCCAGCCGGGCGCGCCGGTGCTGCGCCAGGTTCTTGACGCGCGTGAAGCGCTCGTTGACCGACTCGCGCTTCTCCTGGATGTCGGCCGTGTCGAACTGGCCGCTCTCGACCAGACTGTCCGCCTGCCGACGGTGGCCGCCCTCACGTCAGCCGGCCCGGGGGAGGGGGAGGGGGATGGCGGGTGGCAGAGTGGCAGGATGGCGGCGGCCGGCGGGGGGCGGCCGACCGGCACTGCACCATAGGTCTCCACGAGACCGCGGCCTAGACCAACCTTCAGGCGCCTGTTTACAGCAGCAAACACAACCAGACAGCCGCATCCAACTGAGCAGGGAGCAGGGTGAGCAACACAGCTCAGGTTCACCACAGATAAACGCGCTTCGCACCGGCTGGCCCCAACAACTCCTAAGCCTTCGGTTGGGCGGGAGACTCTATCTGTTCTGCACCCAGGGACATCCACCCCGCTCGTCGAGCTCGCAGGCCCACCGTTGCGTTCGGCAGTTCGTGTGGCGACGGCCGCCGGCCTGGCCGCTCACCTGCTGGTTCATGTCGTTGACGCGGTCCTCGTGGGCGGCGATGTCGTTCTCCACCAGGTCATGCTTCTTCATCAGGTCCTGCACGGAGGCCAGGTCCTTGCCGGCATCCTCGGCCGTCATCAGCGACTCCACCTGCCGTCGGGAGGGTGACGTTAGAACGCCCACCACGGCCATCGTCGCGGTCAGCCTTCCAAGAGCAGCGCGGAGGCAGCGCACATCAGGCAGTCCCCGCAGGTGGTCTGAATTGCACTAATCAACACATCCATCAAAATACAACCCACTGCGTTCATAAAAACATCCCACAAAGCACCATACGCTGTCGATACAGTGGTGAGCACTCAAGGAAATGACAAGAATGATAAGACGAAGTCTTAAGGGCACGTATGAAGTCATTATAGCTGAAGTCAACTGGAGACGAGGACATCGTGTACGCGCGAGCAGTGCGTACCCACCTCTCCCAGCCAGAAGTCGAGGTCCTTGACAGCCGCCACGTATGTGCGCTGCTTGTTGGCCTCCTTGAGCTTCATGCTCTTCTCGGAGGACTTCTGTGTGAGGAACTCCCACTGCTCGGCGATGGAGGCCAGCCTCTGCTGGACGGCCTCCTCGCCGCTGGCGCACTGCTTCTTGTCGATCAGGTTCTGGCCGACGGTCAGCACTGTGCCGATGCGGTCGGCGTTGGCCGCCAGCTCCGCCTCGAAGGCCTGGTGCTTTTGGTGCTTGGACTGGATGTTGGACGGGTCCTTGTACGACTCCTCGGTGGCAGACTGCAGCTTCTCGGTGATCCACATCTCCATCTCGTCGGCGTCGCGCGAGAACTGCTGCAGCGTCTGCGACTCGCCCAGCTTGCTACGCTTGTCAATGAGCGCGTCCTTGAGGCTGCGCCAGCGCTCCAGCACCTCCTGCCGCTTGCCGTCGATGTCGTCGCCGGCGTAGTGGTCGGCCGCGATCAGCTGGTCAGCGAACGTGGTCAGCGCCGAAATCTTCTCCTGCTGCGCCGAGATGGCCTTGTCGAAGTCCTCGTGCTTCTTGATGAGCGCCTCGACGTTGTCGCCCTTGGCGGCGTCCACCTCGTCCGAGGCCAGGAAGTCCTCGCGCGCCTGCATCCAGTTCTCGGCCAGCTCGCAGTCGCGGTAGAACAGCTGCAGCTCCAGACACTGGTCCAGCTTCATGCGCCGCTCGATCCAGGCCCTGTCGATCACGGCAGGACGTCAGCCGTCGGCCGGGGACGCCGCTCCACCGACACCGCCGCCCGAGGCAGCCCACCAGAGCGGGGACCAACTGCACCGCGCCGCGCACTGGCAGCGACAGCGAGAACAGAGCCGGCGAGATTCGGGGCGCCGGACGAGACACCGTGACAGAAAGAGTGCGACAGCTGTCGTGCGTACTTTTCCAGGTCCTGGCGCGCCTGGTTCATCTCCTCGAGCCGCTGCTGGATCTCGGGGCTGGCGTAGTGTCCCGACTGCAGGAGCTGCTGGCCGAACAGCTCCAGCGCCTGGAAGGTGCCGGCGCGCGCGTCGATCTCGGTCCGGTGCTCCTGCGGACGGAAGGACGGCCGGGTGCCAGGTCAGCGGGGCAGCGCGGCGGCGGCGTTCCGAGGGCGGCAGCAGACCATCCCGTCACAAACACAGCATGTGCCCCTGCGGACGGAAGGACGGCCGGGTGCCGGGTCAGCGGGGCAGCGCGGCGGCGGCGTTCCGAGGGCGGCAGCAGACCATCCCGTCACAACAAGCAGCGTGTGCCCCTGCGGACGGAAGGACGGCCGGGTGCCGGGTCAGCGGGGCAGCGCGGCGGCGGCGTTCCGAGGACGGCAGCAGACCATCCCGTCACAACAAGCAGCGTGTGCTCATGCGGTCAACGAATGCAGCACGTCCCAAACCGGCCAAGCGCACGGATTGCCGACGTTATCACGCAGTTGCTGGGAGTTCCGACACCCGTGGCCCACGCCGCGGGCCGCCACTAACGCGGCGCTACCCCGGCGGCGATCCCTCCCCCCCCCCCCCCCTGGCCCGCCGTTCAGAGGCGCCGGCCGGCTGACTGACCTGGTGCCGCTCGAGCAGCGCCTCGGCGCCGGTCACGTCCTGCGCCAGCTCGTCGGCCGACACCAGGCCGCGGCTCGTGTTCACCCACGACATCAGGTCGCGGTAGTCGGACAGGAAGCGGTGCAGGTCATAGCTGTCGAGCAGCTTCTCTTTGCGCGTGTTGGCCTTGCTGGTGAGCTGCGTCCATTGCTGGTTGATCTCGCGCTGCTTCTGGTAGATGGCGTCGCTCTGATCCGGGTGTGTCTGGATCAGCCGGTTGGCGGCGTCGTCCAGCTGGCGGATCTTGTCGCCGAGCGCGGCCAGGTCCCGCTCCAGGCCCTCGTGCTTGCGCTGCAGCGTCTGCACCGAGCGCAGGTCCTTGCCTGTCGACCGAGAGCGCCGGTCAGCTCACCGCAATGTCACAGACCACCGCCTCTGACGCGGCAGCGGCCAGAGCGACGACTGCCGCTCGCCCCCGCCGACCCGCCGAACGCACGCTTCACCCCGTCGAGAGCGCCGGTCAGCTCACCACACTGTCACAGGCCACCGCCTCTGACGCGGCAGCGGCCAGAGCGACGCTGACGCGACTGCCGCTCGCCCCCGCCGATCCGCCGAGAGCGCCGGTCAGCTCACCGCATTGTAACAGGCCACCGCCTCTGACGCGGCAGCGGCCAGAGCGACGCTGACGCGACTGCCGCTCGCCCCCGCCCACCCGCCGACCGCACGCTCCACCCCGTCAGCCACTGGCCAGAAGTGATGCGCCTCACACAAATGCCCACGGAATACACAAGGACGAGCCCAAAGGTCTGTCTTTGGACGAGTTTTGTCATCTACGTATCCACGCTTTTGCCAAAGGATCGGTCTGCCCACTCTTGTCTACACTAACTGGCTAAGCATTCCCGACTCCAGACTGAGGTCCCCACTGCGAGTGGCCGACCCGCGGTATGGAGCGTGACCTCAGCTGTGCTGGTCAAGCACACTGCGGGGACGAACAGAGCGGGCCGAGCACCGTCTTACCGCAGTCGTCGTTGTTGAGCGCGCCGTCCTTCTCCTGGATCCAGTCCACCGTCTCGTCCACGTCGCGGTGGAAGCGCTGCACCTCGTGCGCCGAGCCCAGCTGGTTGGCGCGCTCCTGCGTCACCTCCTGCAGCTTGGTCCACTTCTGGTTCAAGTCCTGTGCCGTGCAGAGGGCCACCAGTCAGAGCCAGCCGATCGGCAAACGGATCCGCGCGCCCCCACATACGTCACCAAAAGGAAGGTAACGATTGGGCTAACACACCAATGGCAACACTCGTACCGCTGCATACAGCATTACATTAAAACACAGTAGAACCTTCGCTAGTCACGTTATTTCGAATCCCCTCACCAACAGGCCTCCGAACTGAGCTCGCCACAGTGAAGAAAGCTCGCCGCGTCGGTCAGCGCCGCTGGCCACCCGCCGCCTCACCTGGATCTGCGTCTGGATGCGCAGCGCCGCCTCCGTCTGGCCCAGCGTCATCAGCTGGACGGCGATCTCGTTCATCTCGGCCAGCCGCACCTCGTTTGCCTTGAGGTCGGCCTGGAAGTCGTCAAACTTCTTCTGCAGCACCTCCACCTGCTCCAGGTCGTCACCCACGTCCTCCACGTCGGCGTGCTGCTCCTGTGGGCGGCGAGCGCGGGGGGCCGTCGGTCGGAGCTCACGCCGGGCGACGGGGACGCCGTCCTTACAGGACGTCCGCCACCGTACGGAGGCCGGAGGGCGACGAGCATATCTCACGGCGAGCAACCCACAGGCACAGGAGCACGAGCTCTACAGACTTACATGAACGTTTAGATCATTTTAACACAGTTCTACACCTCTTCAACTCACAATACACAAGCGCACAAAATATCACATTCTATTTTACGAATCTATGTGACGGGGGGCGTGATAAAACGATACCCGCCAGGGAACACCACAGACTATGACTCAGGCTACCTGGCAGCGCATGTAATTCGTGCGGTCGGGCACGGCGCAACCGCTGACTTGCCTTGTCGCGGATCCACTGCGACAGCTCGGCGGCCTCGCGCACGAGCACGTACGCCTTCACCGTCTCCTTCAGCTTGTTCTTGCGCTCGTTGGCCAACGCCAGCAGGTTCTGGTACTGGTTCTGCAGCACAGGGTGTGAATTTCCATGAGGGCATGCGACACCGAGATACATTCCCCGCAACTACATACTGCACCACCGCTGCCACAAACGCCACAGCGCGTCATTGCTACAGCGTTTACCGCTTGGTGCATATCTCCAACCGAACGCTGGCTGGCAAACGACAGAGTACGGCCTGCCTGCCTCCTGGTGCTGGCTGCCACCGGCGGAGAGGTCCAGAGCGTCCCAGCGTCCGTCCAGTGCCGAGCCCCGCACTCGGGGCACGCCACAGCGAGAAACGCTCCCAGGATACCGCGGCGAGGGCAAACGTCGGCCTAGGTGCCGTGGGAAGCGGCGCCACCATTACCCGGCGCCCGTCAGCGGCGCGGCCGGCCGCCGCGTGAGCCTCGTTAACCTCTGCACTACAGTTACGGAGCTCCTCGGGGTCGTTAGAGCCGGACATCGCGCGTGAGGCCACCCGTAAGCACAAGTGGGTCACTTGGAGACCAGATTGGCCGCCGCCAGAAGCTCTCCTGGGGGTGGCGAATGGCGGCAGGACTGGCGGCGCGCCAACTGCTGCCCCTCTGGGTCGGTTACCGCGAGACCGCGCGAGATCGCTCGCTCCAGAGCACGCAAATTGACGACTCGATAATTATTAATTCGGTAGCCTGTGCGCCGTCACTGCGCCGGCTGATGAATTTGGCACTGTTTGCCGCCAGATTGGACCAATTAATCATAATGAATAGGAATTAGGCAGCCGGAGCTCCAGGCCGGGCGTAGGCGTTCTGTTCCGACATCCCACTCGAACACACAGCACGGGCCGTTGGCTGGAAGCCGGCGCCGGAAGCTCAGCCTCTCCACAGCGTGGGCGTGACGTGCATAATGGAGCCGGGAACACTCCAGCTTCCTCTCGCGCCCCGGGCGTTCCCCACTGTTTGAGACCAGGGCGGAGCACGTCCACCGCCAGACAAGGCATGCGCGCGCCGCTTTGTGAGCGAGCTACGGGCGCTCTATGACAACAGAACCCTCCCTCGCCCTCTCATCATCTCTCTGAAGACACTCAGGGCGTGGTACGGACCCCGAGGACACAGCTGCAGATGTCATCACCCTGACCGGCGCTGGGTTTAGGTTGGCCAGGTTAGCTTAAGGCCGGGCAAACTCCTTAAGCCAAGGTAACGCAGCACACCAGATGTGCCAGCCTCCTCCATATGTGTATCCGAGGAAGGGTGGCAAGGAAAATATCTAAACAGCTACCATACCAGGCCTCGGTAGCCGACGGAATCCACACTTCAGAGCCAGAGCTCGGTTGGAGGAAAGGGCAACACCCGGCCCGGCAGATGGCCGCCACCCCGGACTCAGCCCTCTCAGACGACTGGGAGCCAGCTTCACCCGGCCCGGCAGATGGCTGCCACCCCGGACTCAGCCCTCTCAGACTGAAAGCCAGCTTCACCTGGCATGGCAGATGGCTGCCATCCCGGACTCAGCCCTCTCAGACGACTGGGAGCCAGGGGCTTCACCCTGGCTGCCATCCCGGACTCAGCCCTCTCAGACGACTGGGAGCCAGCTTCACCCGGCACGGCAGATGGCTGCCACCCCGGACTCAGCCCTCTCAGACGACTGGGAGCCAGCTTCACCCGGCCCGGCAGATGGCTGCCACCCCGGACTCAGCCCTCTCAGACGACTGGGAGCCAGCTTCACCCGGCCCGGCAGATGGCTGCCACCCCGGACTCAGCCCTCTCAGACGACTGGGAGCTAGCTTCAGACAGTCTGACGGCGTTGCCCGAACATGCGCCAGTATCGACGGACGGGCGGGTCTGGAGATGGACGAGGCAGCCCCCCCTTCCCTCCGACCACCGTCGGCTCCGGACGTGACGCACGCCACCAACAGACGCCACCGGAAGCACCTAACGACCGCCCTCGCCGGGAATGCCTTGGCCGACCCACGGCGCGGCAGGCGAAACACAGCGGAGTGTTGATTCCGATACCCGGCCAGCGGAAGAGGTCAGGACGCATGCGATACATCACAATGTCGGTGCCATAAATCTGTTGAAGAAACTGACCCAAAATTTCGGATCAGCAATGACATCAATGAAATAAAGAGTTCTTCCGGACTTAAAAGCCATCAGAAATCAATTTGGCAAGACAAACTGGGGATGTACTCCTTTGACTTGACATAGGCAAGAAAGGTCATGAAGTCCTGATTATTCATCATTAGGAGTTGCGTGTTCATATTCTAATAAGAGGCGACCCTCAGTATACCAGGAAACACTGGTTAAACAACGTCGGCGCGCAATTACTGGCTATGCTGATACAGTTTTACATCTAGTCGTGCTCACTCGCTGCTTGTTTTCTTGCCGTCACGTGTGATCTAGCAACCAGGAATGTCCTGCCGTAGTCCAGGGATAGCAGCACCGTACGCCAACACCACAAAAACCGACAACCAGTAACTCGCTGCAATCCCAGCTAAGGAACGATGGGAGAAAATAAAAACATGAGCGACATGGCTGGCCAATTTACATGCTATATAAGGCAACATGTATCACAAACGCCCGTATGACCGGCTGAATGCGATGGGCTCGGGTGGGGTCCATTGTGACCCACTGAGATCTTGAAAAACTGGGAGAGTTGGAGATACCAAACCCACACGGTATATAGGCCTGTGTGTGAGCTCACGTTTGTCATATCTTGATGCATCTACGTCATGACCTTCCGATCACGTCAGGCAAAAAAGGTAAAACTCAAATAAAATGTCGTGTGGCCAGGAAGTTCCAAATGAGCATCAAACGCTACCGCACAAAGCAAATTATCTAACAAAAAGGCAGCTCGGTTTTGGCCTTGATCTGACCTTCATGTTCGACCAAAGGTCAATGAAATAAGTCGCAATCGTAACTTGCATTTGTTCATTATCTAAAGAAAACTATCTCATAGATGTATGGCTTCGCCTATTATATTCCGCTGTCGCATCAGATTAAGCGACTCCCTATGAACTGCCTTCGCAGTGACCATACACGGTACATCTTGTTTTATACCAAAAATACACAACTCGATTGTCTACAGATCGGTAAAACTTTGCGCGGCCACGCCCGCCGTTCGCAAATTGTTTTGGAAGACCTTCGGGGAGGGGGATCAAATTCACCTCCGCCCAGACAGGGGTAAAAGCAGAGCAAAAAGTAGTCTTGTCTCAAGGTAGCATTTGACTGTCATTAACCTCTTCCCAATGTCATGATCCTGATCTTGAACCTGGACCTGATTCATGATCCATGATCCTGATCCATGATCACACTCCTGATCCTGGCCCATAATCATGATCTTGGCCCATGATCCTGATACATTATCTGATCCATGATTCCCATGATCCAGAGCAGGGAGCACAGCTTGAAACGTCGAGTTCTATCCACATGGGCGATGCTTGCCTACTAACGTCTTATTACTGGTACTTTCTACCATATCGAAGGCTTATTCTTACCAGATTATTACAAACTCTGGACTTAGATTCTTTACAATTTCTCGTTATTCACAGCTACGTTATAATGAATGCGTCATGATTACGGGCAAACTTAAAATCCAATCAGGATGATGCAACCAGCGTGTACACAGTATCCTCACAGGCACAATCGCAACTCTCGAACATACCCGGCGTCCAAATACATTACACCCAACTCCACAGCGCTGGAGAAGGTCCGTCGTCCCGTACCCAGCACGACTGACCTCGAGCCGGCCGGACGGCCGACGGCAGACCCCACTCTCTCCCTCACCCGCCCCCGGAGCTGCAGCGCGCGCCCACCTCGATCTGGTTCTGCCGGTTGGCGATAGAGCTGGCGTCGGCCAGGTTCTGCTGGGAGGCGGTCAGTGCCGAGTCGATCTTCTTGACGTAGGCCGCCGGCACGAAACCCTGCCGGTCGTTCACCTCCACCTTCCACCAGTCCTGTAGCACAGACACGGGATTCGGTCACTTACTATGACATTTCTCCAAATCAGTTTTTTTTTTCGTAGCGACAGAAGGACCGAACACTACAGCACATTCTCAAAAGCACCACCGTCCAACCAATTTCTTCATCGGTAACATACACTACTTCGCGCTCGTCGTCCATCCAAACACAAACACGAGTAATAAGCCTTAACTTCGTGCTCGAAGTCCACGTAAACAAAAGTGCAGCAAAAACTGATACCACATAACTTCATCTCGTAATAAAAACCTCAATATACGTCAGATATTCCAAATCCGTGCCGGTAGTTCCGACCAGCGGAGCCCGGCCCATCGGTATGTACTGTCGACACGTCGGGTCCGGCGCCTGTCGACCCGGGCGGCGGACCCCGCCGGTCCCCACACATCACACCTTGTTGTTGGAGTTCAGCAGCGTCAGTACGTCGTTCTTGCGCATGGAGACCTCACGCGGTGACTTTTCTGTGTAGTCGTACAGCGCCTGCACGAACTCCTTGCCCGTGATGTCGGCCACGGGCGTCTCGTGTTGCTGCGCAGCCGAGCGGACAGGGTCACTCCAACACCGCTCTCCGCTAGCACGGATAACCCCCCAGGTCATGACGTCACGCGAAACACCGCACCAGGCCGCGTCAGACTGCCCGTCGGCCCTCGAAGAGCGAGGCGGACCACAGCTGCCACGGAGACCGACCCCTTATTCCTGGCGCTCCTGGCACGGATAACCCCCGGGTCATGACGTCAGACTGCCCGTCGGCCTTCGACAGGCGAGGTGGACCACAGCTGCCACGGAGACCGACCCCCCTATCCCTGGCGCGCATGCCACGGAGAACTACATTGGTTCAGAAACCAGCCTCCCAGCCCTCCACTGACACACAAGACCAGCTCCACATCCCCGGCTGGCATAGAAGCCGGACTGCCTGGGCCACCTCTAGACTCACGCTGCACTGGTTGGCCTGCTGGCGCAGTGACTCGATGGTGGCCTGGAACGCCTCCAGGTCAGTGATCATGGCCTCGTGCTTCTTGAGCAGCGCCTCAGACGAGTCCTCGTCCTTGCCATAGTCCTGGCCGCCGGCAATCGGCTCCTTCTCCTTCATCCAAGCCTCGGCCTCGTTGGCGTCCGCCAGATACTGCCGAACGCGAGTGTGGCGGTCACCACTCTGGCTGCCACACAGACGCTCCGCCGGCCCAGAGTCTGGCCGCCGCGTCACCGAGCCGCCGCACACACGCTCTGCCGGCCCAGAGTCTGGCCGCCGCGTCACCGAGCCGCCGCACACACGCTCTGCCGGCCCAGAGTCTGGCCGCCGCGTCACCGAGCCGCCACAGCGACGCGACCAACCGTTAGCACATACTGACGAACGAAGACACCTGCAGCAAAGCCAGCAACAGTGTGCGAGCAACGGCGGGCCTGGCCGCTTTAACTGTCCTCCTCCCCCTCCACTCGCATCACTCATCACACAACCACCGGCTCAGCCAGCCAGCAATGCCTGCTGTCGTCGGCCGCCACTGGCGACGATGCAGGAGTCAGAGCAGACAACCACTCCACTCCCCCCCCTACCCCCCCCCCCCCCTCAGTGGCGACACAGCGGGCGGCAGTGGAGAGCAGCCCGCGGTCCGACACCTACCTGGTGCGCGGCGAGAGAGGCGTCCAGGTCCTGGCGGCGCTGCGCGGCTTTCTCCTTCAGCTGGTCCCACTGGTCGGTCAGCTGGGCGGCGCGCGCGCGCACCTCGTCGCTGGCGAAGTGGCCCTCGGTCAGCAGGTCGTCGGCGTCGCGCAGCACGGCCGCGATGCGCGGCTCGTGGTTGTTGATCTCGGCCACCACCGCCTGGTGCTTCTTGGTGAGGTTCTGCACGCCGATCAGGTCGCGGCCTGCCGACGGTGGACCAGTCAGGGGATGGATGGGGGAGGCGGCGCACCGGTCAGCGGGTGGGGGACAGACAGCAGCGCACTCGGCGCGCACACCGCACCAACCCCGGCGCGGCCACCCGGACGCGGGCGTCGGCGACGCGCGCGCAGCAGGCGCTCACCGCGGTTGGTGCTAGCCGCCACGGGCTCCTTCTCGCGGATCCAGGCGGCCTCGTCCTCCATGTCGCGGAACAGCTGCTGCACGCGCAGGCTCTCCATCAGCCGGTGCTTGCGCAGCTGGGTGGGCTGCTGCAGCTGCTGGTACCTGCGGCCGCCACCGGCGGGAGCGCGTCGTTACAGGCGACGCTCACACACAGCCCGTCAGGCGGTCACGTCCCTCACCGGTACAAACGAGTGACGCTTGACGTGAGAGCATATGCGTGTGTAGCACGTACATGAAACACGACATGGCATGAGCGCGTCTATAGAAATCCCTCAAGTCACAGTTAACGCGATGGTCGTATTTGAAGACTCGTCCCGAAAGTGTTGCCTCACATCGTTCAGACCTGATACCCACACAGTGAGAGCGAGTCGCCGGCGGTTCCCAGGACTGGGGCAGCGGTTGTCATCAGCACGACTAACAGTGGAGAGCGTGACGCCCAACTGCAGTCTGTAAAACCCACGACTTGCCGTGGCAATGACACCTGAAACTTTACCTGTATGGCTTAAGTTCGATGTTGGATCCATTTTCACGATGCGAGTTGGGAACTGGGGGAATTGGCATGCCACCTAGTAATAGCTGCAAGGGAAAGGGCAACTTCTGCCCGAAAGTTTGGTGATGGTCGGAAGGTGGTTTCCTTTTCAGTCTCCTCAGTGCAGGACAGCGATATATCCGTACCCTTCAGTGGCGTCATTAAAATACCCCAGTAGCTGATTATACTCCATGTCTTACCGGTGGCACTCTCATTTGCTCAGCCTGCATATTTCGACCCTAGTTCTAAAGCCCTGGACAGGATTCATCACACACGCCTCCCAGTTCAGCCATTTCCATAGAGACCAAAATTGTGATCCAAAAAGGGTATGTCAAGCCCCAAAAACGCGCACCGACGGATATGTTGTCACTTGGCAACGTGGTGCTCTGGTTCACTGTGCCGTAAAGCCGGGCCATTTGGTGCATCACGACGCCGGCGCGGATCATTGGCTTAAGCCGTCCAAACGGCGCATGTTAATGTCATAACCTTGCAGCCGTATGGTAGTGAAATGAGTGACCAGCTAATGAAATGTAACACAAAGCGACTCACGAGAGCTGGTGCTGCGACTATCAAACATACCATTTGAGAATCAGGTTTCGCTGGGCTAAATCCCTTTACATTTGCTGTGAAGACTGGCCAGGGACCAAGAGGTCAGAAATGAAGTGCACAAAAAATTACTTAACACCAAACATGCCAGAAACCGCCTCTGATACCAGAATCAGCCTGCTGGATCAGCTGCCGGATCAGCCTGCCGCATCAGCCCGCTGCATCAGCTGCTGGATCAGCCTGCTGGATCAGCTGCTGGATCAGCTGCTGTCAGCCTGCTAGATCAGCTGTTGTGTCCATCTCTGATGCCAGCGTCGCCCACCTCTGCACCAGGGTCTCCGTCTTGGCCTGGATATTAGGCGCGTCGAAGTGGTTGGCCTCGGTGAACTGCTGCGCCTGCTTGCGTGCCACCTCCACGCGGTCGGCGTGCGAGTTGACGTCGTTCTCGAGCAGGCCGTGCTTCTTCTGCAGGTTCAGCACCGACGTCAGGTCCTGCGGACGTCCGGCCGAAGGGTCAGCGCCAGGTCTGGCCGGCGGACCAGCACACCAGCGCGTGCCAGCGGTGCGGCAGCACGCCACAGCGCAGCACTCACAGCGTGCATGGTTCCACCTCATGGAATACCTCCGTCGGTGCGACCTCACTCTCTCAGCGATGGCCGGCTGCGCTGTGGCCGAGAAGCATGTCGTGGCATATCCCATTCCGTAATGGAAAGCTCGAACTATGATCCTGAATACAGCATAAATGATCGACTGAACGAACATGGTGGTGAACAGCCTCTGCAACAGTTGGTTGGTTACGAACGTTGCTGGGTGCAGCTGACTGCGCAATCAAGCAGCGACTGCAGCTGAGCTGCTACGCGCAGCGGCCGCCCCCTCCCATCCCTCAAGCCCCTGCTGGGGATGCTCGCTCCGTGCCGTCCCATCAGCGGCGCGGCGCGGACCGACCTTGCCGTAGTCCTCGCTCATCAGCTGCCCCTCCAGCTCCGACATCCACAGGTCCATGTCCTCCAGGCTGCGGTTAAACTGCTGCTGCTCGCTGGCCTCGGCCAGCTTGGCGCCCTTGGCGCGCGCCGCCTCCTCCAGACTCTTCCACAGCTGCTGTATCTCGGTCAGACGCTCGGAGATCCGGTCTGAGGGTCAGTAGACCCCAGTGAGACACGGCCAGCCACAGGGCCGCGGCCGACGGCGTCCAGTGGCCACGCACACACTCACTCACTCACGCACGCAGGCACGCACGCACCGCGCGTGCACACGCACACACACGCGCGCACACGCACACACGCGCGCACACGCACACACCTACATGCACACATCGGTCTTTCGAACCGGGTGCCTGGAGGACGTCTACGGCGACGACCCACCGACACAGAGAGCCGCAGCTGGCCCGGTCGGCCGGGGTCGCCAGGGCGCGCCCGCGGCCCCGGCCCGGTCGGCCGGAGTTGCCAGGGCGCGCCCGCGGCCCCGGCCCGGTCGGCCGGAGTCGCCAGGGCGCGCCCGCGGCCCCGGCCCGGTCGGCCGGGGTCGCCAGGGCGCGCCCGCGGCCCCGGCCCGATCGCTCGCCCACACGCGCTCCCTCACCGGCGGCAAAGTGCTGGCTCTCGATCAGCGACTCGCCGGCCGTGGTCAGCTCCTCGATGCGGGACGTGTTGGCCTTGATCTCCTGCTCGAAGTTCTGGTGCTTCTGCACCTTGCCGTTCAGGTTGGTCGGGTCCTGCCGGAGGGGCGACGTCAGCGCAGGCCGGGCCGCAGCGTGCACGTCCTTACGGGCGTCACGGACGGGGCTGCGTCGCTAGCGAACGCCCCCTGTTCCCCCGACACAATGTCTATCGGCGGGGAGCATCAGATACCTCCGCGGCTCTGTGGCATGACCCGCACGCCCACTGCTCGTCTCCATCCGAGACCGGACCGGTGACCGACCGCAAGACAGGGCCGCACCCACCAAGTAGGACTCGTCGTTGGCGAACTTGAGCTTCTCGTTGATCCAGCCCTTGGTCTCGTCGCAGTCGCGCTCGAACGCCTGCAGCCGGTACGACGCCTCGAGCCGGGCCCGCCGCTGCGCCGACTTGTCCATCAGCTGGGCACGACGCTCCAGTAGCTGCGCGGGGCGGGAGAGGACGAGTCAGGCCCGGCAGAAGCGGGGGTTCGGGGCACCTGACGTCCGGATGGCTGCACGACAATGCAAACATTGCAAGCTGAGAATCGTGCGCTTTCAATCGTAGTTAACACATCACGGCACGAGAAAACTCCAGCATGGCGTCCATGGCACTAACCAGGACCATCACAATTTAACAAAGTGTACTGCTGCGATCGTGGGAGGGGCACAAGGTATCCATCTACTCACGGGTGGCGAGCCCCCTGTCCCTCTCCCTGGACGTACCGCGTCCCTCCGCTGCGCGACGTCGTCGGCCGCGTAGTGCTGTCCCTCGATCAGCTTGGTGGCGAACTCGTTGAGCGCCTTGATCTTCTCCTCCTGGGCGGCCAGCGACTTCTCGAAGTCCTCGTGCTTCTTGATCAGCGCCTCGACCGAGTCGAGGGAGTCGCCCAGGTCGTCGTTGGACAAGAACGCCTGTGGGGTGAGGGCCGTGAACGCCATGATCTAAACTGAAATCCGAACCGGATCTTGACGTAATATAAACTGGCCCTCCTTAAACGATGAACTGACCTCGTTCGCACCGAACCTTAACGTGACCTTAACTAATTTCCTCCGAGCAACCAGTTAAGGTAACCAATCAGCTTCAATCAGCCTATGATAGAATAAAAAAGACGGCAAATATACTCCGAAGAGCAAGCTCTTTCGGCGCAGCTGGGTTACGACGCGCGTCAGCCCAGTCGACAGCCAGCCTACCTCCTGCTTGGCCATCCAGGTGTCGGCCTGCTCGGTGTCGCGGTAGAAGAGCTGCAGGTCCATGCACTGTTCGTACAGCACGCGCCGCTCCTCCCACAACTCCAGCAGCTGCACCTTCTCCTCCGAGAGGATCATCAGCTTCTCCTGGATCTCTCCGGCCGCCTCGTGGTTGGAGTCGAGCAGCATCTGGCCGGACTCGATGGTGCTACGGAAGCTGTCCTCGCGCGCGTCGATCTCGCCCTGCGGAGCGCCGCCGGACGGGCGTCAGTCGCGCAGTATCGGCGCGCCGCCACGCTCGGCGCCCACCGACGGGCCGGCGTACGTCAGGCTGCTCCGAGAGCCAACAGGCGCGTTGGCATGACGTTAAGGCCATGTCTGTGTCAAACCCTCGCCGCACTACACAGCTGACTGGTCATCACCCGCCTTCAGAATATACATGCCTCCATCAGCCAGACCACACCGCATGATCTTACTGCAGCTCAGTAACCTCTGCAGCCCTGTACCGTCCGCCGCGGGCGATCCGTGAGCCAACGGGAGCGTCCGAGCAGCTCCCCCTCCCCTCCAACCCCCCACCCCCACCCCGCCCCGAGCTGTGTCCGCGCCCGACACCGCCGTCCATTGTCCCTCACCTTGTGCTCCTGGTGACGCTCGAGCAGCGCCTCGGCGCCGGCCACGTCCTTGGCCAGGTCGTCCGCCGACACGATCGCCTTCATGTCGTTGATCCAGGAGACGAGGTCGCGGAAGTCGGCCAGGAAGCGGTGAAGGAAGTACGACTCGTCCAGCGCCTGCTTACGGCTCTGTGGGCGGACCGGAGCGTCAGCGCATCATTCATCACCAGCCCGCACGCTGGCGCGCCGAGACACGGCGTGGGCGGGCCCATACAGATATCACTCATCACCAGCCCCGTACGCTGGCGCGCCGAGGCACGGCGCAGGCGGGCCCATACAGACGGCACTCATCACCAGCCCGCACGCTGGCGCGCCGAGACACGGCGTGGGCGGGCCCATACAGACGGCACTCATCACCAGCCCGCACGCTGGCGCGCCGAGACACGGCGCAGGCGGGCCCATACAGATATCACTCATCACCAGCCCCGTACGCTGGCGCGCCGAGGCACGGCGCAGGCGGGCCCACACAGACATCCCTCATCACCAGCCCCGCACGCTGGCGCGCCGAGACACGGCGCGGGCGGGCCCATACAGACGGCACTCATCACCAGCCCGCACGCTGGCGCGCCGAGGCACGGCGCAGGCGGGCCCATACAGGCATCACTATCACCAGCCCCGCACGCTGGCGCGCCGAGGCACGGCGCAGGCGGGCCCACACAGAGGTCAGCATTCGACAACCAGGAAAGACACTGTCTTAGAGAGCCGTCAAAAAGGGGCCTCTAAACGTCCCCCGTCCGGGTCGGTCGATGGTTCATTCCTTGGATAGTAGTTATGTTGTTATAAGTAAAATGAACATTTCGTCTTCGGACTATCAAATACCAAACTAGAAGTGACTTCGCACAACCTCATCGCGCAGTCTGCGAATTAACACAGTTCACAAGCGGTTTGTCTTGCGAAAATAGCCCTCATCAGGGGTGATGTTGGGAACAGTTCTTACTGCTCGCAGCTTAACGCGAACACTTAACTTCAAAAATCTAGCCCAGCAATTCAGTTCAACGAACACCGCTTACTTCTGTGTTGAGCCCAATAGCAACGAATGACCTTAACACACCACGCACGCCACGACAAGATCGCCCCGCTTCAGCTCATTACATTGACCGGATGTCACTGGATCATCTCCAACCGGTTCTACAAACTCGACCACTGACACCACAAGCCATCACAAACGGCGGCCAGCGGTGGGGCGCTCCACCACACCGAGTCCGGGCGATTGCAGATCATACAGAGCGACTCGTGATCAGCTGACACCACAACGCTGGCCTGCCGCCACCCACCTGCGCCTTGCCGGTCAGCAGCTTCCAGCTGTCGAGGATCTCGGCGTTCTTGGCCTTGATCTGGTCCTGGTGGTGGTCGTGGATACCACAGAGTCGGGTGGCCTCCTGGCCCAGCACCATGACCTTGTCCTCCAGGGCGGCCAGGTCACGCTCCAGGCCCTCGTGCTTGCGCTGGGGAGGCACGGTCCGGCCGTGTTACCGAGTACGGCTGCCGACGAGGCGGTGCGCCACGCCAGGCACAGCTACCGGCTCAGTCGTCCACGCACCGGCCCAGAGATCTCACAGGCTAAGCCATTAGTCATGGTTCGTGTCGGGCGCCGAAACGTCAATGTCTTAGTCGGGGCATACACCGCAGAAAACGCACCACTGTCGAAAATTACCAAAGCTCAGCGCTGCTTTCCTGCTCCAGAAAGGGTCAGGAACGGACCGTCTACAGCTAATAACAGCCGCTACTCATATTCTGCTGGCCTGCTACCAATGTAACATAGCTGTTTGTGCCTCAGGTCGGGCCAGGTCAGGTCAGGTCAGGTCAGGTCAGGTCAGGTCAGGCCAGGCCAGGCCAGGCCAGGCCAGGCCAGGCCAGTCCGGGGTAGGCCAGGTCAGGCCAGTTCAGTTCAGGGTAGGGCAGGGCAGGGCAGGGCAGGGAAGGGTAGGGTAGGGTAGGGTAGGGTAGGGTAGGGCAGGGCAGGGCAGGGCAGGGCAGGGCAGGGCAGGGCAGGGCAGGGCAGGGCAGGGCAGGGCAGGGCAGTGTCCCAATCCACTGACCTGCAGGGTCTGCACACTGGCCAGGTCGCGGCCCGTGTCGTCCGAGCTCAGGATCAGGTCCTTCTCGTTGATCCACGAGATGGCCTCGTTGGCGTCGCGGTTGAAGCGCTGGATCTCGTGCGCGCCGAACAGCTTCTCCTGACGCTGCAGCGCCAGCGACTTGAGGCGGGCCCACGACTCGATCATCTCCTGCGGACGCGAGGACATTGGGTTGTGAGGAGGAAAGACGACTTCGAGTCCCCTGCCGACGCGCGGACATCGGGTTGTGAGAAGGAAAGACGACTCCGGGTCTCCCGCGAACGCGCGAATACTGGCGTTTTGTGGGGAAGAAAAGCGACACCGGGCGAGTCTAGACGGGACCATCCCCTGTAGGGACATCCACAACATGGACCACATGGTTGGGACGATCACCACCTCAATGGTGATCGTTCCAACCATGTGGTGCATTGCGTGTAACCCGCCTTCACTGTCTGTGGGTCTGTGCGATGTGCAGGGCTCTCTCATTACTACGGGAATTATCACGGCCTGATACATGTCATCACAGCCCTTTGGGAAATCTGAAAACCTTGCCCCGATTTGCTTCACGTAATGTGATATGAATATTGTGTGTCGGCTGTTGACGACGGACAGACACATGCCAGCGAGAGGTGTGCATTGCTAATGCCATTGACTCGTCTCCCTGAAGCACTTAAAAGTACTTCCACTGCTATGCAAGATATTCCCTCTCTAAACGTGCTGACGTGTCGTTCTTGTGGGCCCGCATGGCCCACCGTCGGCGTTCCACCGTCTGGTGCATCCCACGCTTCCTCGTGTGGTCCGTGGCGCTCTCTCCTCGCACAGTGGCGCCCCCGGCGGTGCCCGGTCCCCAAATAGCGGGTGCCGAGGCCCCTCCCCCCCCCGTCCCTTCCTCCCCGCCCGGTGGTCAGCGTTGCTGGGTTCTAACCTCGCGGGTGTCGAGCCTCCGTCCCTCCCTCACCGCCCGGTGGTTATGGCGCTGGGCCCTCACCTCGCTGGCGTTGAGCCCCCATCCCTCCTCGCCCGGGCGTCAGCGGTGCCGAGTCCTTACCTCGCGGCGTGTCTGGATCGTCTCGTGGTCGGGGTGCTGGTCCGCGATCAGTTTGTCAGCCAGCTGGGTGACCTCAGTGACCCGGTACTCCTGGGACGTCAGGTCCTTCTGGAACTCGTCAAACTTGCGCTGCAGCACCTCCACGTGCTCCAGGTCCGTGCCGAAGTCGTCGGACGTGACGAACGCCTCCTGAGAACACGCAGGCAACACATCGGCATTACCGAAAGCTCACCACTGCTTACGGTGCCGTATTCCATCGGCTACGTGCGGTGCGTGTTTCATTCCACAGCCATCTTAAATGGGCTTCCACGCAATCATATAACGTGATGTCGCTCGCAAGTGGCTGCAGCAAGGCACACCTTTTTACCAACGCCATCCTGATCAGGTCGTCACCAACCGCACGGGTGGCGGTGATGCAGCGTGGCACGGTCACCATGGTGTCCGCATGATTTAATGCTGCTGATATCAAACTCAACTGCATTGCAGGCGATAGCTAATCAGACACCTGACAGCACCGCACGATAGCAAAGTTCAACGCAGCAGACCCGACCTGAATCAGCGGACCCTTACCACAATGCGACCAATGCTCAATGATGCGCAAGAACGCGGTCAAATACAAAGTCCCCCAGTTGAGCACGGCTGGCTTCGCGTCACGTTGGTTACTACAAACACTGCAGACGCCCATTCGGAGGCCGCAGGCTCGGCTTCCGTCGCCGCCAGCGACTCACCTTGTCGTGAATCCAGAACATGACCTCGTCGTACTGGCGCATGAACTGGACGAGCACCAGCGCCTGCTGCAGCTTCATGCCCTTGTCGGCCAGCTTGGAGAGCAGCAGCTCCCACAGGCGGTGCAGCTCGTCTGTCGAGGGGCGCCGCGTGACGTCAGTGGCGCCGGGCACGCGGACGCGTCCACCGCACCAAACCCGATATCGTTCCATGCGTCGATACGTGCAAAGGAAACGCAACTACGGAAACAGCCGGGGTATAAAAATAACAACATTCAATAACCCATAACATGGAAACTGGCCCCAACAAGCAGTGTTCACGAAAACGGTCACGGCTTACTCACTTCTCTCCAGAGAAATATCATGTTATAAGCCGATAGCTTTCGCGATCCAGCCCAGAAACCACCATTACCTGTAATTTCAAATCAAGACTGACATAGTATGGCGAGCCTAAGGACATAACTGCAATCACATAGCATGCCTAACACAAATGAGCTTCATTTCGACGCCACCTCCCCCGGCTGTCCTGAGTCTCCCGTTCGGACAACACTAAGGGGCAAATGACGGTTTACAGCGCCAGCCCGGCACACCCGCGCCCCGGGCCGCGGACTGACCCAGCCTCTGGCGGATGGTCTCGGACGCGAAGTGGCCCTGGTTGATCATCTCGGTGCCCGTGTTGTCCAGTGTGACAATGGCGTTGGTGTGCGCCGCCACCTCCGCCTCGAACGCCTGGTGTTTCTGGATCTTGGCCTGCGGAGGACAATCGGCGGCTCCGTCAGTGACACGCAGACGAGGGGGGGGGGGGGGCACATCAGATCAATGGAAGGCGCGTCAGCGACTTGCGAGGTGGCACATGCAGCCGCACAAATCGTGAGACCCAATCTATATCAGCACTCAACTAAGGTGAGCACGCACATCCGTACCTCACGCACAACGGGAGCCTCGACCTCCAAGCGAGTCCAAAACACATTTCAGCAGTTAAACCAGGTGCCTTTCCCCCAACCCCACGGTGAGTTCGGCACATCATCGCCAGCGGCCGGCCCGTGTTACAGTCTCCCAGCAGGCGACGTCAAACCAAACCCAGTCACTGGTGAACGACCACGTGACACAGGACCCAGTATTACAGCCTCCCAGCAGGCGACGTCAAACCAAACCCCGTCACTGCTGAAAAACCACGCGACCCAACACCGCCGAGAGTACGTCCCTTCACCCCGCGTATCCGCGGTGAGTCGCTGTCCGTACGACCGCCAACCGACCTGGAGGTTGGTGGGGTCCTTGTAGTTCTCGTCGGAGGCGGCCTGCAGCTTCTCGTGGATCCAGGCCTCCAGCTCGTCGGCGTCGCGCTTGAAGTACTGGAAGCGCCTGCTGTCGTCCAGCTTCTGGCGCTTGGCCAGCGCGTCCGCCTTGAACTGGGCATAGCGGCTGAGCACCTGCTCACGCCGCTCCTGGATGTCCTCGGCCGTCTCCAGGATCTTCACCTCCTTCGGCACCAGCAGCGGCGTCTGCTGCTGCTCCATGGTGGCGATGCGTCACGCTCGTGAGCTTCTGCGGCAGGCGGGGAGTGCGGGTCAAACGTCAACAGCCACGAGCTTGCGTGAAGGGCGAGGGGGAGGGGGTACGCGGACGTCAGCAGCCTCGGTAGTAGCGGGCGACCGGGCACAGCAGACATTGCCAACGCCTACCACTACACTTGCGCCGTTAAAACCGCACCAGTCCGCACTTAAGAGGCAGTGGGATAATATCAGACAGATGCAGATGGCGGCGGGCTGGTGGGCTCCCTGCTTTGGCTACTGACAACCATCCCCTGTAGTGAGAGGTGCGGCAGGTAGCCAATGACCAGCGATGAAGGCTACAGTTCGCACATGCCTTTCGTGCGAATCTTCCAGACAAATTTGTCTGACCTCACATTGATCATCCTTTCGGAGATCAGCGTTTATGCAAACCCCTAACACGTTCCAGCGTTCATATGAGCGCGCGAAAGGCTACTTGTAGCGAAGTAGTGGTATTTAACAGTAACAGTAGGAAGGGTAAATTTGGATCGTTTGTTTTTATCCGAGCGAATATAACAAACTTCAACTTGTTAGAACTCACACTTGAACTACAACTTACAACCAAACTTATTAGACATGCACAGCTTCGGGTAAGGCCATTTGCTTATCGCGGCTTGCCACAAAGGCCGTGGCCAGGACTTCCCCTGGAAGCTACCCCAGTTCCACAACTGTTACTGCAAGAGTTGACGTGCCACACAATCCCGCACCGCAGCCGCGTCTCTTTCCACCCGAACTCCCTGGACCAGCCGGCAATTGACCGTCAAGGACGGAACACTTGAGCGCGGTTTCTGTGACGCAGGCCCCTACATGCCTGCTAAACACTGGTGTGGTAAACATGCAGGTCGACTGTCCCACACTATTTGTGTTAGTTCAACCCTATTTCCGATACGCTGGAATGCCTGGAATTATTTTCCACATGCCTGTGAGAACAAGATGCAGGTATTTACAGCCCTGATGCTAAAGACAGTTCACTGGCAGGCAAAAAACACAGCCTTTAAAAACAACTATAATACATCATATCAGCGCGTAATTCACACCGTTGCGTAGAAAGCGGTGGATGGATGGATAACGGCACTCACTTGTCAAAGTTGAACATTCACCTTACGGCGATACATGAAAAGGACCGTGTTCCAAAAGTGCGTCCCCTCCTCCACATAGATAGTGCCCATAGATAGATAGTGCCATAGATGGAACCCGCGATAGTGCCTGGCCAAAAAGAACAAGTATATGACGCGACGGCAAGTATATGTCAATGATAGGTATGTTTATCCCTCCATTTAGATACACTGAGGACGGATTATTATCATATCATCCAGAACTTTTGCCCATTTCGCAAGGTTATCTGCGTTACGTCTATGATTTTCAATCACTGTGACCTGTACAAAGCAGACGTCATCATTGATGGACGTAACTGCCAGCTACATAAACAAAAGGGCAACTCTTCAACCAACACCAGGTCCATGCCACCCGCGCTGTCCGGGTGCCCGTCCCGGATATCCGCCTTTCCTAAAACCCGGGTCAGCAGACTGGTGCGGCGACCCTTCAGCACGGACGCAATGCAGTGCGGCGCCGCGTCCGTCGGGGCGTTCCAGAGCGGCCGACGCCGGTGCCAGCTGATGAGTCGCCGCCGGGGCGGGGTCGGCTGGCTGGCGCGCCGCCAGCCGCTCCCTGCGTGATGCGGCGCGCCCGACCGGACCGCGGCGCCGCCACAGAGCGCGGGGTCAGCTCTCAGGTGCAGCGGGACGGGAAGCCTTCCCGCCAGGTGCGCCACAGGTGCGCCCGCGCCGCGTCACACTGGTGCTGACAGCGGCGGAGGGAGGGTCGCGAGGACGCAGGGGCGCCGGCTGGTCTGTACCGATCGATGCACCCAGACACTGCGGCCTCGGTGTACAAAGCATATTCCCCCGCCCCAACGAACTCGCCTGGCGTCGAGCCCGGCCCGTCGGCAGCCCGGGCCGACGACGGACGCGCCCGCTCGGACGCCGGGCCGCAATATAAACAGGCCGGCGGCCCCGGCGGCCGCGGCGTCCCGTGAGCTGGCGGGCCGACGGCACACCCCGCCCGGTGACGTCACGCAGCCGCCGACACGGCTGCCAGCGGCGGCGGGCCACGGCCGCGCCCAGACGGCTGTCTAGCCGCGCGCCGCAACTTCAACTTTCCTATCTGAACCTTGCAACGGACGACCGCGGTTTAGGCTTGAGTGTGTCGCGGTCATATGGCGCCCCAGACTGCTTATCGGCCGCCACCGATAGATAGGCCGGCGGGGTGGGGTCAATAAAACGCTACCCAGTTATCGACCGTCGCCGGCACGCGGTTTGGCACAGCGGGAGTTTCGTGGGGTTTTTTGGTGGCGTTTCGCACAGCGGCGGCGGCCACGCCAACTTTGCAACAATGATGCATTGCACACTTCATGAGTGGGGATGAGTCCGGGCAATGCTGATGGCACAGAAATATATGAAATGTGCATATGTTTCATTACCAAAAATACCACTTAAAACGTACCACAATATATCCGGACATATTAAGAAAGGAACAAGGGCAAAAATGTAGTAAATAAAGTGGGCCAACTATCCAATATTCCCAAATGCAGCTAAACATACAAACTTCTCTAAGTTAATAATATTTCATCAGAAGATTATTATGTGCATGGCATTACCCCATTTATGCTGGTAAAGTAAAGAAATTAGGTTGACTTTTTAACATAGCAACAACTTTATCTATGCCAATTATTTAACTTAGGTATGTAGCACTCCCAATATTTTACAAGTCACACACCAGACTGTGTACTTGGCATTATAAATTGCATTTGCACAAAATATTTTTGAGAACTGAGTGTTGACAAAATCAATTCACTGCAGTTCCATGAAAGATAAACAACAAAAATAGAATTTCATTACTGATCTACACAAGGACTTCACAGAGCCAACATTCTATACACTGTTGTGCTGGCCAATGGGATTTTTTAACAAAAAAATACATAGTCAAAAAATCAAAAATATGATATTCTGAATTTCTACAGCCACATCTGCACCAGAAATGAATGTCTGGTGGCAGACACTAGAAATAACAGCTTCACTGACATGACTAGGATATCAACTGATAAATTTTAGCATAAAAAATAAAACCAAGACCTTGACTCTCACTTAGGCATTTTTATTAGAAAAGCAGCCAAGAAAACTATGTCAGAAGCATGGGCAAATGTCTATACCTCTACAGAGTACAGCACCTTGTTCATCCCATTTACCCCTGCTTATCCCATTTGCCTTCCATGCCTGAACAGGCCCATGTCACAAAGGAAGTTTATGATTTTTTTCAGCTTAGGGATGCATTTATAAAAATGCACCTTTCAGAAAACAGCTTGACTGGTAAAAAACATCCAAAATTTTATTTATTGATGATCAATCTAGTAGCACAAGTATTTTGGTCACTTTAATCAAGCTCTTCAAATTATTAGGGTACTTAAAAATACTCTTTAACTTGCTTAAACATTCTTCAAGTTCTCTTTGCTTGTGTAATACAAGAAATGCCTGCACAAAAATAGCACTTCTAGGTCAATACAGCATAAAGATACCAATGGATAAAACAAGATATGCCCATACATGGAAAAATGCATGGTAGAAGTGAACATCCCATCACAACATCACGAATAGAGCAAACCACATTACAGGTTTACTTTATCTGCACAAAATTCAAAACAAATACAGACAAGGTGATAACCGTACAGACCATAGCTTAGGTTCACATACTACAACATAAAATTGGTAGCATAAATTAAATAAAACAAAATTGGTGGAAATTGTAATTGTTCGGATGAGAAGTAACCAGACATAAAAACTCATCCTCTTCACCACACACCTCTGTGACATCAGTGTGCTGAGCCATGTGCTCAAATAAGCCAACTCAGGCCAGTCTTACTGGCATTACATATAAAAATTGATTTTGGTGAAAAATATTTTCAACAGTCCATTTACATGAGACCACCATTCAAGCATTCTAACTCCTTCAAACATAAGCTCTGTGCCTCCTGAAATTGGAAGCAACTATGTGCTGAACTTGAGCTCCCAGGTTCATGATGTATGTGTGCTGGAGTTGTTGCTGCAATGTCATTACAATGCCAGATGTATTTGCCAAAACACATTTTTGCGGTCTGCAGCAAGTAGGCGCTTCAAACTTAGGGGCGAGATCACTCAAAACAATGGTAATTAAGATAGCAACTACTAACATACTGATCATACATGTGTGTAACCTTAAGGCCACACCAACTGTATCATGTCATTTGGTGGTTTGTCATTTTGAAGATAGCACTTACATTCCAATCCAATGACACCTTCGTCGGCCTCGACGCTGATATCAGGCGCAAAGCCGGTAACCACTCTGACTCTTATGCCGACAATGCTCCTTAATTGCGAGCAATCAAGCGAAGGCTTAGCTTGCTTTTACTTAAAATCCTTGTTTCACAAATCGCCTCAGAGCCCAGGCAGCCAACCAACCGCACACCCGCCGGGTCGACGCCCCACTTCAACGCCACCACGCCCAGTTACGTTCATGAACCCTGCGGGCTGCCAGATGAAAAACAAGCAGTTGTGGAAAGGCTACCAAATTTCATACCGTTTTTCCGGCAAAAGAATCTACTAATAAAAGGCTTAGATATATCACAGACTTCAGCATTTGTGTGATAATGTTCAAAACAGTACACACATTTAGGCAATGAAGACAGTTTAAAAAAAATACATACTTCGGATACGCCAACGAACAAATAAATGCATATATTATCAACTGAAGTGGAACAAACTGGAACGATCTTTACCAGATACGCCCATAGGCGGGTCAGTCATATGTGAGGGAGTAATAGTGTGTAGCAACTCATGAGTCGATTTACGAAAAGCGGCTTCCGTGCATGGTCACATCAAATCTGAGTCGATTTACTCAAAACTACACTTTTTGTGCATATTAGGCCAGCTTTACGGCGTCACTTTTGCGTAGGCGCATTAACCTTTTTAACCGTTATGCAGCGTCAACGCGCGTGTGGACAGCCTTTTCGCGTTACGTTAGATTAAGTAGGCCGCTAGTAGCCTTTTTCTGCGTTGTGTATACCTATGCTGTGCCTGGCTAAGCAAATGCCAAATGTGTCAGCCTGTAGCTGGAACTGGAGCCGGGCCAAGACCTCACATGGCTTTTTTGACAGCTAGCTGCAACATACGCTTGTCCCACTTGTACATCACACAATTATGAATTGAACACACGTGTTTATCACATTACGATCTAGACAAAAGTCCTTCCGTTTACGTCACGTCGTAAGAGCATCCACGGTTACACAGAACAGGACCGCTTACATCCACTCGCGAGCGAAATTACGCGGAATGGTGCTCTTGTATCTCACACCATTAGTGCATCTATGCAGAACAACTCCTCCACTCAAATGCATCTATTTTGTATAAGTTAGCTCAGAGCTCCACAGTGGCGGATCCATATGGATCCGACGACGTCATAAGATTTTGCCCAGTAGGGGGAACGTAACATTGTGTCCCCTTGATTTGTGGGCCCCTCCAAAAATTAACCGCATTTCGGTGATCATATTTTAATATCTTTATCAACGTTATTTGTCATACAGTAACCCATCTTACTGTGCGCAGCCCTAGAACTCCACCCGTTCCTCCCATGTACACACGTGGCGCGCATTCCTTGTTGTCCAGATCATGGTGGATTCTATTATCTTGAGACTAGGCACATCAGAGAATATATGACAAAATGAGCTCAAGTTGGCAGCTAAATACGATCAACATCAACCTCGACACTTCATTCCAAGGTTATTTACAGCTAGTCGGTTAGTCGATGTAATCAGCTGATGGTTGATGACTAATGTAGGGTTTTAGCCTTAACTGATTGACTAATCTGAGTCATTTTAGGTCAAAAACTACTCTGATTTTTAAAAACTCCACGCGAGATGTCTGTTGCGGTCCCTGTTATCAGGAAATTTGACATGAGCGACAGAGACTACCCGTTAAGCAGGCTCTCGAGTAAAGAAGCAGCTGGTTTTGGTCACGGTTTGCCCTTCATACCTGACGCTAGGTTGATAACATTTGTTGTAATGATAAATTCGTTTGTTTTATTGCTTCAGAGACTATATCAGAGATATATGGCTTCGTCTAACACTCTGTTGACGCATCAGATTGCAATATCCCCTAGAAATTGCCTTTGCTGACCGCCACGGCCTGACATTGTCCTGCCAAAGTTCAGCGACCTTTAAAGATGCATTCAATTTTTATATAAAAAGATCTGCCGCATAACTGCGTATAGCTATGTGAAGTTCGGTGCCGCTACGCCGGCGTCGTACAACAAACATGGCAAAGACTTTTGAGGTGGTAAAACTCCCTCACCCGGGCACGTGTTGTTTAACAGATAAACCACTAACAAGAGCCTATGACGCATGTGATGTACTGTTTGTACAGCGTAGGACCCTCAAAGCGAGTAAAAATATCCAAGATACAATGTGGAGGGCCCCGAACGATCGCGCGCTCCCGACCAGGGGGATGCGCCGTTATGCGGGGATCGAATCATCGAATGCACCGTCATCGAGTGCGCCGTCGTCGAGTGCGCCGTCAAGCAGAGGATTTGAACAAAAAAGGTCATGTCGGCCGATGAAAGATTTGCGTTGCCGGCCGATAATTTCCCCCCACAACCACATCAAGCGCGCAAGGTTTAACCTTCTACGAACAAAGTCAACTTTTTTTGCAAAATGGAAGCCGAATCTATGCGAATCAACTTTTCCGCCGAGCCGTCAGCATTGAGTGATTGAGTGATAGTGATACGCTGTCGAGGAATCGATCGATTAAGATACAAACAAAAATATGACGAGCGTGGTGTAGTGGCACCTGATATCCCGATACCAGTGCTATCAAATGCACGGAGTTGCAAGCATCGTGTTTGATTACAAGTATTTTCCCGGGTTCGTCGTATTACGGACATTACCCTACGTACAGGCCGGCAGTCGCTGTTTAATGGTGTCAAGGTGTAATTGAGTAAAAATGTCGATGTAAGATTTTCATTGCTGGCCGACAGAGTTTTCACAATAGCACTGTAAATGCGAGGATTGTAAGTGCGAGGTTTTACCTTCTGTGCTCGAGTCAAAGTATGTCAAATTGGACGATGTACTTACGAAGGCGTCCGCCTCCAGCGGGTCGGCAGCATTGTGTGACATGCTCTTGGAGGATCGCCCGAATAAAATTGAAACCAAATATGACGCACGTGTTGTACGGGTAGATGCTAGTCCTGTACCAGTGCTTTCGAAATCCCGCAATCGCAATCTTCGGGTCTGATTATAAGCATTTTTCCCGAGCCATCGTAACACGGCCGTCGCTCTACGCTTGGCTAACACGCCCGCTAACACTCGGGGGTCAAATTGAACCCCCGAAGGTTTTTCAAGAATGGTTTCTGAACGGCGTGGCGTATCCGCGCCAAATTCCTGCGTAGCTGTAGAAAATTAAATAGCGGACCGTTTGAACATCAAACATTTAGATGTACCTTTTAAGGTCGCTGCCCTATGGCAGGTCAAAGTCAGACCATGGTTTCAGCGGAGGCAATTTCTAGGGAATCGTCCAATCTGATACAATAACGGAGTGTTTGACAAAGCCATGCGTCTCGTAGATACCTTCTTAGGCACCACAACATTGAATGAGCAAATTAAGTTAGCATAAGGTCAGGTATCAAGGGTCGACCAGGGTCACAACCAACCTGATTTATTACTCTAGGGCTTGCTGTATGGGATGTTTTGTGGTGCTCATTTCGAATTTATTGACAGCAGAAACCGCATTACGCTTCTTTCATTGACTTCTTGGAGGTCAGAGAAAAGGTCATTGACCTAAAATGACCCGGTCGACATTTTGTTTAAGGATCATACTGCCTGGCATAAACTTTGTCGCTTATGTGAATGCAAAACTCAAGCAGGATTGTATGATTTTGGTCACCATGACTTTCAAAAGGTCAAACAAGGTCACTCATTTCAAATGGCCTTTTGACCCTTTGTTTTGGAGACAGTTGCCTAGGTTCTGGGGCACTTTGGAGACCAACTTGAAATTTGACCTTGTTTAACCTTATTTGACCTGAAGGTCAAGATCTAGGAACCTAAACTTGGACCTGAGTGAGTTCAAGTACAGGTCAAGACATTAAAAATTTAGTGTCCCTAGCATTTCTTGGTTTCCGAGATCTAGGGGGAGGTTCAATTGCCCCCCCCCCCCCCACCGGAGCGAAAGGTATCTAGCCGGCCCCCGGGCGAGTGTTAAAACTCATTTAGCTCTGCGCCTTATAGGGCTAAATTTTAACAAAGATATGGTATAACGGCTGCTGCTAGATTTACATGCCGGCCGATAGTGCTCCCGCAATGACATCACGTGTGCGAGACTGCACGTTCCACGCACAACGAATTGTATTTCGAATCGCAAGCCATGTCTGTGCAATGCACGCTCCGGCCAGCTTGCCCTGATTGAGTGATACGCTATCTGGGTTGTCGCTATGCTATCTAATGATGTCGGAGCACAAATCCCACGAGTATGTGTTCTTTGCAGGTGACAGCCCTATACCGCCGCTATTAAATGCACATGGTTGAATCTTCGGGTTCGATTTGAAGTATTTTTCCGGGCCGGCGTGCTATAGCCATCGCCTTACGAGCAGCAGGCCGCTCTTAACTATGCACCTTTAAGCGTGTATTTAAACAAAAAGGATCATGTCAGCCGATGACGCATTTACATTGATGGCTGATAGTGCGCCCATAATGGCATTGAGTCCTCAAGGTCCCGCCTTCTGCGCACAAGTAAACGTGGTTCAAATTGAACGCGTATCGGTGGAAATATCTCCTCGTACCTGCTCCCCCACCCCCAAAAAAAAAA